AGCAGCGGCTACAGCGGCAGCTGCGGGTGGATTGATCAAGGGCTGCTACAAGTTCAGATGTCCTCTGTTCCCTCTTTTCTGAGATCTGGTGCTGTTCCGAGGCCTTCAAACAAAGCGGCGGACTTGGCGACTCTAAGGAGCTCCTGGGCCCGACTTTTACTGGCCGCGAGAGGTGGAAAGAATACCCCCAGGACCTTGGCGCTGTCACCTCAGACGGAGAGCAGTGTTCTGGGCAGCAGCAGTAGCAATAGTAGCAGCAGGAACACTGCAAGCAGCAACACCGTGACCAGCAACAGCTTGAGTGACACCAGCAGAGATGCCTCTCAAGACACGAGACTCTTTCAGACAGAAGATGAGCGCTTGTGTGCTGAAGCCGAGACGTGTTCACCTGAAACCGATGCTGCTGACGAGGAGCAACAGCAGCAGCAGGACGCAGCGGCGGCAGCCAAAGCCGTCACTGTTGGTGTATCGCCGGTAAGTCAGACATGTGTACAGAACCGAGAGGTACTGCGGAGCGGAGGTTCGCTGCCGGTGTTACAGTCTGGTGCGTTGGCTGGAGTTCCTTCATCTCCTGAGTCCGGCACCTGCGGATCCCCTCGGTCACTGCTGAGCGCAGGATTGACTGTCGCATGCCTGTCTCCGAGGCAAGGCAGGCGGCCGTCAGGTGATGCTGCTGTTGCCGTGGAGGACCTAGATGCATGTGTGAGGCTGTCTCCGGCTCCATGGGCTGCTGAAGAGGGTCTTGAGTTTTTCTCAACAGAGACTCTACCCGCACCGCTCTTGCCTACCTTGCCGGCCCTGCCGGGGAGCAGTAGTAGCAACTCCGGCAAATCCCCACTCAGCCCCACGAGCCTGCTCTTCTCCTCAAGCGACCCGAGGCGCTACATTGGACCACTGGTGAAGAGCGCCGTCATCTCTATTGAGAGCTTACCCGCTTCGATGGTACTGCCTGCTCTGAGCAAATCCTCCAGCGGCTTAGACGCAGAATTTCCCCTGGGGATCACGCAGCAGCACAAGGCAGCTGCGCTGCTACAATTGCATCTGCTTCCGGTGGGGATGAGGAATATGGCGTCTGATAGCTCTCTCAAGCTGAGGCAGCAACAAAGCCGGCAGCCCATGTCCTGCCCCGAGTTGCAGGTTGTGCAGACGGCCTCCTCAGCGAAGAAGCTGCTAAGCGGGCTAGTGAGTAGGACATCGTGGAGGACGAAGGAGGCGGTGAGCCTCTTGACCCAGCGGAAAATGTCAGGTGCACTCTACGCACTTTGCCGTTGCCAGCCACCTTCCCGTCCCTGTAGCCGTTCATCCTTGACTCACGGCCCTTCCAAGCAGGGAGCACCTCTTTTCACGGAAGAGCCTCTGCAATGCGCTGCGCCACCAGTAGAGGGCTGCAACTCGCAGGAGGCAACCCCCGTTGCAGGACAATGTAGGCGAAACATGCAAAGGCTGACGGAGAAGCACGGAAGTATCGCAGCTTGTGCAATTATGACAGAACAGGAGGGTTGTGTGCGGCCGGGTTTAGGCAAGCTCCGGCAAGAGATGCCACTGGGCAGCTGCTTCCCAGAGACAGTGCTTGACATCAGGAGGCTGCTGCTCTCCTCTTTTCAGGAGCCAACTTTGACAATAGCATCGGCGCCGATGGGAGGTGCGGCAGAAATGCAGAAGTATGGAAACGCACATATCAGAGAGCGATTAGGCAGATATTGGGGCCTGGCAGAGTCTCGTGTAGGATTTAATCCTCCAGGATTGGACTGGAGAACGAGAAATGTGTACGAGACAGCAGAGTGCATCGTTTCTCAGCCACTGAAGCTCGGAGTTGGACGTGGGATTTCGGGGACAGGGGAGAATCTTTGTGAGCCCTCGCCACCACTAGCGACTCCACAAATAGATCTGCCGTTCAGAAGCTTAGTCAGGGTAGCCGGGATCCCCTTGAGGCCCTCGGAAGAGGGTGGGAATGACCTCATGGACACGGAGCAACCCAGTGTAAACGTCTTGGCGTTTGCTGAGATCGACGCCGGTGACTCCCTGGATGTTCTACGGTCTCATGCTGAGGCGCAGGAGTCCTTGGCAGCTCAGCGCCAGCTGAATTTAGCTGATGTGACCGCCGCTGGGGCAAGTCTGAGTGGGTCCGGTGTCGCTGCCTCTGGGCTTCAAGTTTACGCCAAAAGCATCCAGTGCGCGTGCAGCAGCACGATGCAACGAGCGCTAAAGGCCGCCAGGGAAATGACCACGCTTCAGGCGACCGATGAGGGGATAGTATCACTGCGTCGTTTTCAAGAGGAATTGATGCGCTTTTCTACCGAGCTGGAGTCTACGAAATTACCTCCTGAGCAGTGCCCAGGGGCCAAAAGTTCCAGGCCTTCCTCCCCTGGCGAGCTCAGTATGGGTGTGGTGGTAAAAATTGAGAAGCTCGCGGCAATGTCAGGGTCACGCCTCCCCGTACCAAATATAATATTGGGCTCTGTGCCAGAATTCCTGTTGCTAAATGACTTGAGCTGCGCGAGTCGGTACGGGACGTCCTTGCGTTGCATGGCTGGAACCATTCGAGATGCTCGCCGCCTTACTGCGCGCAAATTCACTGGTTGCATCTCGGCGCCGTTTGAAGGGGGAAGCTGCGCCAGCTTGAATTCCGGCCACTGTTTTGCTATGGCTGCTCGATTCGAGCGAACACAGGTGAGCAGTGGTCCTCATTCCACAGACGCACTACAACAGTATCGTGATGCATGGTAGAAGGTGAGGCTAAGAACAACCACAGCGGGGCTAGCACGCGCACTGCGACAGACTATTGAATCGTTCCACAGTGCGTCGTACTAACATTTGCTGCAATGCGTGAGCACTTTTCCGTGAGTACTTCCACATTCACTTTGTCCCGGTGATTGGTGGTTACCACGAACTTCAAATGCGTGGCCGCATTGACTTCAATCGCTCAATGCCTATCGCTGCCTCAGAACGCACTGAAGGAAATCGCGCGCAATGTGCAGTTAGTCGCACCACTTTTGATCGAAGGTGCCTTTACAATGTTCAATCAAAATACAGGCAACGGCGCCGAAGCGTCCTCCCTAAAGCTGCTGCAAGATCAACATACTGCAGCTACTGCGGGTCAGCCAGTGTTCCGTATCTCCAGAGAACCCAAAGCACACTCCCTTGAATCCTTCCCTTTACCGGAGTGCAACAGCTCACTTTACCGACTGCCAATCACATGTCATCTCCTTGCAGGCGGCGCTCAAGTTCCACTTGACAAGCTTATGCTGGAGCAGAAAGAAGCATTAAAGCATCTGCCACTGGAGCTGGTGTGTCACGACGCCCGCCATCCCTTGCCCATTCACCGACATTAGAAGCTGCATCTGTTGTAGCACAGGTTCCACTTGTTGTACAGCAGGGTTTGTGCATGGAAACGGAGATGATTTTACCCATTGATTGACGCCGCAGGCACCAGCTGAGCAGGTCAGGGTGATGCTGCAGCCGGTCGCAAAACAATTCGCTGCGCGCCTCCCATCCATCAAGGCTTCCCTTCAAGCAGGTCTGTTCTCGAGTATTTTGCTAAGACACTTGTAATGTCGTTAGGTCAGTCTACAATTCATAATATTATGTTTGAAATCTCGACAAAATGCAGCCAAAGCGAAGATTATCAGTGAATGGTCGAGCAGCGCTCAGTTTCAACTTGCTATCCCTCCAAGCTTAACGCTAGCCTTCTCTCACCACGATTACCGGCAATATGCTGACACAGATGTTGACCCGGCCAAATACTGGCATACAGCCGAGTGCAATGACTAGGTAAAGCTGCAAGTAACTGTCGTTGTTTGCTGATTTCTTGCGTTAATCGACACCCAAAGCGGCAACTGTGCACTGTGGGGTTCAGGTTACCATTTCTCCAGGCCTTTTGGTGGTCTTCCATTCGGGCACTCAGAGCGTGTTTTGCCTGCGCGAGTCTGATCACGTAGCTCGTCAGAGACCATGGTGACGAGTCAAAACTGTAGTCTTGAGGACCCTGCTGCTGCCTCTGCCGACTTGACTAGAACACCAGCTGACTGCGCGCTGAAGGCCTGGCGTTTGGTGGGGCCCCAGCAGCCACCAGCTTTACTGCATTAGGAAATACGGCGGTCGCGGAATCGAACCGCTTAAACGCTTCGTGCGCGAAGTCACTTCGCGATGCAGCTCAACTGCTCGACGGAGATTAATGCAGTGCGCCTTTCCAATTTCAATTAAACAGTCAATATGCTGCCTTACTAAACGCAAAAGTACTATATCTTCCTCTAGAGGGCCAGTATGTACACTAACAGCTCAAGCGGAAAGCCCAATGAGTCTCAACATATTAAGTTAAACTAATGTCTTGAAGAGACGTTCCTGAAGTACAAGCAATGCTTCTCGATAGTTACACTTGTCAGGCCTTTATGGTTGTTATGCCAGATCATATGAACCCATGAAAAGCTGAATAGGCTTTTGTTTTGTATGGTATGGGTACTAAACGTTGTAGCAAGCACATACGGAATGTACAGCCGCACGACAAGCAGCTAAAGTGAATCACCTGTGACGCACGGCGCGCCAAAGGGAACGAAGGCTTGGGAGCCTTTTTCGTACTGATCCGAAGAGACTACGGTGTCTGGCTAGGCGTTCTTTGATGTAGGTGTCTTCCATTTGACTCCACATCCCGGCATTAAGTGCTGCCGCGCCCCTTTCCAGCCGCTGCAGCTGTACACACACGCCCAACAAGACCGCACATGACATAGTCGGGGATCCCAGCGTGTCTTGCGTAAACCAAAGTGGCAAGAGGAACGGTACCGCGATGAAAAGGGCCCCAGGAACTCACTCGTCTACACACTAGGCATGATCGCAAGTAGTGGAATGGAGACGAAGATGGCACCTGGCGGTCGGGTGAAAAGCTACTGTCGCTTGTTATTGCCAGCCCGCTAGCAACCATGTGCGCCGCCAAGTCCCTTTTCAGAAGAAAAGGACCCCGAAACTTGATGTCAGCTCGAATGAAATCAATGTCTGCCTCTACAGGAATAAAGAAGACTTTCCTTCCAAGTAGCACTTGCCTCAGAGATGCAACAGAGGACGGGCCGCTTTCGCAGCTGTCCCCCGCTGCCTGGTCCTGGCTGGGTAATGCGGGGCCAGGAACTGATTCTTGTGGCTCTCCCCCTCCTAGCAACAAGTCCACTGTGTCAAGACGGAGAGCGATGCATTCGCTGGCACGACGGGTTCGAGAAAGAGGAGTCAGCGGAAGGAAGGGGAGAACGGCATGAAGAAGGGGGACATGATTTACGAAGATGTGCCCTGGTTATAGATCGCGCACATAAACATGACACTTAGTTCATATAAATCAGTTCACAACTTGCGTGTAGTGCACCCGCTTTGGTCACAGTTAGTCACACAGCGCAAGTGATGTCGTAGGTACAAAACGTAAAACACAGGTGTTTCACTTGCCCTGCGGCCCAACGGAAAAAACAATGCCAGTAAGACACTTGCGCTTCTCGTATACACTTGGAGGGATATCCGACTGCCTTCGAATTCGGTTTATCTGCACGCAAAGAGGGAAAAAGAAGTCAGTTCCGTAGCGGCCTGAAATGGAGTGTGATATTACAACCACCTACCCTGCAGTCAGGAAGACTTTTTTAAACGAAAATAAGAAGAAACCCAAATAAGCAGTAAAGACAGATGGAGATGCAACGCCTGTTGCTGTTGCCATCGATTGTGTCTCGAAACCTAGCCCACGGTGAAGGCGCCTCCAGCAAAAGTGGAAAAAAGAAGTCAGTTCCGTAGCGGCCTGAAATGGAGTGCGGTATTGCAACCACCTACCCTGTAGTCAGGAATACTTTTTTTAACGAAAATAAGAAGAAGCCCAAATAAGGAGTAAAGACAAATCGAGATGCAACGCCTGTTGCCATCGATTGTGTCTCGAAACCTATCCCACGGTGAGGGCGCCTCCAGCAAAAGTTGGGATGGGGAGCACTGTGCATGTTCTACTTGAGCCTCCTGGCTCTTGGCCTTCATTTAAGTCCAAAAACATGCACATGAAATTTGCATCAATCAGGAAGATTTGCCGCTTTGCAGCGTCAGCATGCTTTGGAGACCCACGCTCGGAGTGCTACAGGCGTGACCAGAACTATCTTTGGGCAAGAAAAGGTAGACAAATAATAGCCTTAACACCAAATACAAAAGAAGAGAAAGAAATGATAAATAAGAATGTGCATTTCATCTTCGTACTCGGGTGTATTTACTGCATGCGCAGCTACTTCGCTTGTGGCGTCTGCAGAAAGCCGCAGAGCACCATCTTTAACAGCGGCGTTATGGCATTTCCTTATTAATGAGTTCTGCATATGACCTGTAAAGGACATGTTTCGTTTCTTCATAGTGTTTGGTCTCCTGATTCTAGTAAGCCGAATCTCAGTGACGCTTCATCCGCCGACTGTCAACTGTTTGCGCTTAGTGCTTGAAAGCGGAAGCGTCCCGACACAGAGCAGCGATCGACCCTGCAAGCTTGCTGCCCAGCAGGTATGTTCGTCATTTGCTTCATCTATAAGGGTGAAGGAACCAACCTCTGGCAGCTCCTTGATGCATCCACTGGACTTCCAAGATGACTGGCAGGCCAGTGAGCCCGTGCCCGTTGACATTTTCTATAAGGTCCCGGGTGCGCTACAATTCATTTCTTCTAAAGGCAACCAGATGATAGAAATATAATTGACGAAATACTGTGCTTAGTTAATGGAGAATCCGACCTACGGAAGGCACTGGAACACGCTAATGATGCTGCACGTGAGTGACACGTTGCAGTGCCGAACACCTCAGTCATGCACATGGAAAGCTCAGTGTTGTTTGCAGAGGTACTTCAGCAATGTACCTGAAATATCGACTTCATCTTTAATGCGAATTCTAATCAGCGAAAGCGGCAGATGAAACGCGAACTGCAAGACAAGGTGGGTAGAGTACTGCACCGCCTACACTGGCTGTGCAAGCTGCCGTTTCAGGAGTTCATTGGGAGCCAGATCTCCATGATACTGAATGATGCAAGAAGAGCCCTACGGCCTGCACGGAACGAACCGAAGTGGCCACGCTCCAGTTATTAGCCCTAACGAGCAGCGTTTCTTATTGACAGTGCGGAACCCCGTCCCTTCTCTCTAGCGTGTCTCGCGTTAGTTAGCTTGCGAATTACAGCTTTACAAGTAGGGCATGGGAAAAGAAATACAGTGGACGGCAGGACAGTGCTTCCATGATGTTCCTGTAAACACCTTCTTGTCAGTTTCGCTCTGTCTGCAAGTCATCGATTCATTAGGAGCTAGAGGGCTGAACAAAGCAGTTGCCACCCTAAACGCGATTCAACCAGAACAGCGCTGAGTTGAATCGTGCTGTATATCCTTACTCCTTCCCCGTGTGCGATCTTGTACTCTACCGTGTATGGAAAAAAATGTTTGAGATGACCACATTCAAAAACACCTCGTCTACCTCAAAATCGTCGATTGCAAGTAGCACCATATCCATAACGATACGACAATCCCGCTGCAATTCAGGAAGGTTAGACACAAATCGTTTCATTTCGATGAAGCGCCACACCCATACCATATAACCTTCTCGTTACAGTTCAGTAGGGTTTGTGACAAGTTTTTACTGTTCAGTGAAGGGTAATCGTCTCGTATTAGAGAGTTGCCTTCACAGCATCTGAAGACGTCTTGTCGCTGTCAACGCCTCAGACCATACACATTTCTTCAGAAGACAGTCTCACACTTGTTTTGTGAAATTCCTTCCCAGTTTGTCCCTGTTAATGAGACAGAAGTGCCCCGGAATAACACCAAGCAGAAAGTACTTGTACAGAGACATCCTGACCCCATGCGCCGTTCCTGACACACCAGCAACATAAACTCGCAGAGGCGTACGAAATGACCTAGAAAGTATCTCTATGGCAGAAAAAGTAGAAACAAGCTGCTGGAAAAGGGGAAAAAATTGAGAGTACGCTGGACTCATTGCCCCTGAATTCCCGTCCAGAAAAGCAGCACTCGCTAGGTGAATGAACTGCGAGCCGCCCAACTCAGCTTAAGTGCAATCCTGTTCGCTTTCAACAGCATACGGGTGAAAAAAGTCGCATAGAGAAAAACTCATTTAAGACGCTACATACATGGAAGTATCACTCCGGCATTTGAGCGAAGAAAATGGACACACCGTGCTGCGGTCTGATATCCACGTTTCGGGTAGCCTCGGTGAGGGACCGCCACCAGCTCATGAAACGGGCAAGAAGCAGCAAATAAGAAGGCCGCGAAAAAGAAGTTTTTACTTTTTGTACGTTTTTGCTGACTCTCCTTCAGAGACGCCTGAAGGTTGACATCGTGGTGTTGGCGCTGTCCTGCTGGAGCCCAGCCGACACCCTATATCAGCCGTCCGAACCTGACCCGTGCAGCTTCGCCTGTAGTTCTTATTGTCTCTGGAAGCAACTGTTCTTGTCACTGTATTTGTAATTACTTGCGTTTCAACGTTTGAAGCTTAAGGGCAGGGCGTTTCCGCTCCACTTTCGCGCGACGCCGTGGTTCGTTGAGTCGCTCAGTCGTTAAACCACTAGGAAGAACGGGACGCCTTCCAGGGTCTATACTTGTCTTGTCTTCAGCGGCAGCTTGCTTGCTCAGCTGCTGATGTATATATTGTCTGAGGACCCTGCCGCACGAGCGAATCGCATAAATTCTCTCCTGCCATCGTCGCCATGGGCAACTCCTCTTCTTCAGTGGCGCAGCCACCGGTTCTGGGCAGTGAACTCACCACACCTTCTTTGCAGAGCCAATCTCGGTCTTACGACGATAGCTGCAAATACCTCGTAACAGGGCCGAGGCCTCAGGGCACAAGAGTCACAGATGCATACACTTTAGATGTCTCATCCGATGCTGGACTTTGTTGCGGCTCAGCGCCCACGAATGGTTCGGTCTCTTTCGTTTCTCGGTAAGTCGGCTCACGCGCGCTGTCTCCTTGTGGCTTTGTAGCCGCATTTTGGAGAGAAATGTGGAGCGAATGTTACATTGCGTTGATGCTGTTCGGAGCAGGGAGGAGGCTCTAATTAAGGCACGGTACTATAAGGACAGAAATCCTGAGCTTGCGAAACAGGCGTACCTGTTCGCGCTCAATTCCCCACCCACAAAGGGCTTTGGGAAAACACAGAGGCTGGAAGTCGCCAACCCCGCCACGAACTGTGGCTGCTCATTTGTGCGCTGCACAATTCCCCAACCTGTCAGTGCCTGTTGGGCTTCGAGCCAGTTCAGCCATCCTGAGGCACCCGAGGGGATGCCTGACGTGTCCCTGCAGAAGATGGCGAGTGCGGAGGCCACATCGACCACTTTTTCCAGCGGCAATGTGACTCGCCTACACACGGACGACCTTGACGAGCTCGTGGTGAGCAACCCTGCGGCTCAACGCCTGCAGGTGGGGGATGTTTCAGGACGCACGACAGGGAGAGAGAGCTTACGCCAGCTCGATGACAGCGAGTTCAGGGCGGAGATACATGCAGAGCTTGCGCAGCTGCATCTCATATGTGGAGAACCGCGCAAAGCCTTGGAGTGCTACAACAGCGCAGAATTGCTCGCGCCTGAACAGCTGGCCTACTCGTACAGAAAGGGCGTTGTATTGCAGCAGTTGGGTGAACGGGAGGGGGCCATATCGTGCTTCCGAGCGGTCCTGCAGAACGATTCTAAGTATAAGCCAGCCATATTCAACTTGGGTGTTTGCCTGGCCGTGGATCCTGCCACACGGTCAGAGGCTCTGGGAACGTTCGAGCATTTGCTGTCTATCGACCCGAACAACGATAGCGTAAGCATTGATTTTCGAAAATTAAAGCATATAGCGAACAGGGCCAGGATGATTTCGTAGTGATGATGCAGAAATCCGTGCGGTTTCTTGTGTAGTTGGCATTGTGCATCTTGGCATAGTGCCGTGGAGTGCTAATGTAGCACATTTATTCTTCATTTTTCTCTTGAAACTTCATTATTGCTTTGCCGTCTACGTCATGTCTCCTCCGGGTTTCTGCAGGCGTTGGATATGATTGCGGATATTCACGAGCAGGAAGGTCGTGTGGCGGAAGCGTATACAGTGAAGCAGCGCGTTGTTACTCTTGACCCTTCAAACTTCCGGGCGGGAAGAGACCTAGCGAGGCTGGAATCGACCCTGCTGGATCGTGGCGGTGTCCCGGGCTATGTAACGCTAAACTAAGTGGCCAGCACTGACTCATAGGCGGAGGAGAGGACCGAGTGATGGATGCGTATCTGCACTTTAGTGTCTCTTGGCTGCAACTCGCCGCAGTTTGGCAGCTGGCAGATTTGTGACCCTCGCTTTGCACTGTTTAAGTCCTGCATGCTTCTATCCACTCAGTCGGCGAGCGGAAACTGGTCTTTTAAGAGGTTGCCGAAATGGTTGCGAGTGGAGTTTCAATGGGAAGCAATCCCGTGGCAGTTCAGCCCGTGACAGCGCTGTTTTTTATGAGGATGCCAACGCACATACGAAAGACTTGCGTTGGTGTGGCAGAATTGGAAGGTGGGCATAACCGATTTTGACTGCGACGGCTGTTGCATTGGATTGAAGAATATATGTCGTTTGGGCCGCAGTGTCTTCACGAGTAATTCAGGTGACTCCTCAGTGGTTTACGCTTGATAGCTGTTGGTGCCCATGAAGATAGATGCAGTTAAGAGGCCAGGACAAGGCCTATCGAGTAGGCATATTGTGTGCATCCTTCTTTACTATTATTCCTCATGATTGCTTTCGAAAGAGGCAAATTTCACTACATTCTACAGAGTGCAAGGTCGTGCGTGCGTAGCCATTGCTATCCGAAGTGTTTAAAAGGGAAATAACGCGCAGCAATGTGTCGTGTTTCACGGTGGCACAATACAGACAAACCTAACTCGTACTGCAGCTCAGGCCGCAATGAACTGGAGCGTACAGCGCCGTATGATTGTAATCAATAATAAAAATCGACGGCTTGTACGCCACACTTCCTCCGAAACCTTCATTGGGGATGGCACACATTTTTACTGTACCTGGCATTTTTTTTTATAAGGTACCTATCGAAACGCAATTAACACTTGATTGGCATCTGCGGAGCACGCGCCAATGCACTGTTCTCGTATGCAACTTCAGCTCGCTAAACAGGGAGTGAAGATGCTCGTCGGTACTAATTTATCTGAGTTCTATGTTGAGATCCTCTGCAAGACGCTCAGCGCAGCTCCACTTATTCACGCACCCTGATGATAGGCGATAACAAGTAGTTTTGCAGAGTTTTTTGGCCTCTCGTTACAGCGCGAGCGAACTTGATACGAAATATGGAAGGGATTCCAGCAAGTGCAAAGCCAGACAAGTGCGTTTCAGGGAAAAAGACCAGTTGCAGTCTCTTTACGAGCTAGATACGCGAACATGGAGGGCTTCATCTTCGAGAAGTAGATATCTCGTGCTTCAGATGTAGCAAGCCTGATGATGCGTTACACCGTCCGCTCTCGCGAACGGTGCTCAGCAATGGCGCTCTAAGGCTTCTCCGCTGCTGGACATAAACCTGCTGCATCATGGAATCAACGTGGCCAAGCAAACCGCAAAAAAACTGGGGAGATAACGAAACGTGCTCTGTAGCCACTTGTGCGCCGTGAGTGTACGGACTTGCTTTACTATCGAAATATAAATTCCAGATTCGTGGAGATACAGGGTGGCAGAGAGGGGAGCAGATAGGGGGCAATCACTAATTGAAATAAAGTGCGGTGGGGTCTTAAGGATGATGAGAGCGTAGCTGTTCTAGCGAATACCTCGGTTGCCGTGAATAAGTAATATGTACTCCCCGAATGCAAACAAGTTTTCCGCTCTCCTCCAAACATGAGGTTTTTTCCTCACTGAGCGCAATATAGGAGGCCTGCGCTATTATTTCACAGGTGGGCTATCGAGGCCACACTACCCATTTGACTATTTCTTCCGCATTGACCAGCCTCACGAGAGGTGGCTTTAGGCCTAAAGACATGCTGAGCATGTATCCCACCTAAGTGAATGTGACAGACACTAAGGCCCGAAAGGGTTTCAGAGAAGCTCAGGCCTTCAGTCGGTTGCTCATTATCAACGCAACTATAAACACAAAAGAATCACTTCTAAAGTGGATATGCTGTTACTTACCATGCGTCCGGTCAGTAGACATGCTCGACAAGGCTGCTTTGCAGGTAGGAAGCCATTGCGTGACGTGCTGTGTGCAACTAGTAACTGTGTACGCTAATTTAGCAAGCAAAGCGAAGAGGAAACTGTCTCAAACAAAGACTGTCAGGTTGGCAGCGTTGCCGTACTGCCCTTCGAGTGCAGGCTCTCTTCAGGGCACCTCGGTATTGGTCCACATGACTCTAGATAGCCTATGGCAGTGTTGGCCTTCTCACCAAACTGAAGTTGGTTCCTACAAATTTATTCGTTAAATCCGTCAATATCTGAATGTAGTTAAGACCAAAACTGACGTTTCATGCTTGAGCTGCGTGCTGGCGAGGGCCCCTCTAATCGATTCATGAAATCCGTCCTACTGAACTTAGCAAACCCTGCAAACTTCCACTTACTTGAAACTTCAAATTTTCAGTTGCGAATAATGCGAGGAACAAATTTGCAATGAAAGCTCCCGCCACAAACTAGCACATCACCGTGAAAATTGACCCATAGTTAAGAACAGGGAAGGAATGCCATGATCACCCCCAAGAAAAAAGGCTTCGATGCGCGTGCACGTTCCCAAGTGAGTTGTTTTGCAAGGCTTCGTTCCTATCATCCGCGCAGATAAAAGATGTCATCATGGCTGGTCAGTAGGATGCGTCGAAAGCGGTCGGGGACGGTTTTTCTAGTTGAAGCTCTCGCGGCAAACCGTGTAGAGGCTACTGCGCCGCCGCGACCTGATTCTGCTGCGCCGCTACGCCAAGATCCTTAGTGCGCTTCTGCCTTATTCTTCCCGCCATCGTTCCCTCCCATCGCTCTTCCCGGGCGCCTTCGCCAGCACATGCAGGAAAATACAAGTGCACGCTGATGGCTTGGCGGCCTTGCGTCAGCTGTAAGTGGCAGTTTTGGGTGGTTTTGCTGTCATGCTGGACATATGCTTGTGTATCTACGTCTACAGCTTGCATGTGGATCTCCACGCAAGCGAATTCTTTTGCCCGAAGCCAGAAGACAGAAGGCTTGGAAGTGAATTGTTTGGCATTCTGCTACGGGACTAACTCATGGCCACGACTGTCCAACAATGGCGTACCTTGGGGAGGCATTGGCAGATTGATTTCCGTGCACCGCTCTGCTCGTAAAGTCACTCTACATGCGGCCAATCGCACCCAGCAGCGTCCCCAGTCGAGAGGCACGAAGGCCACAAGAGGATCTTGCCCTGCGGACACAACGCTTGCAGGACACGGACTGTGGGATAATTTCAGATGCCCTATTGTTGCTGAAGCTGATCGTTTTGTTCTCTTTGGTGACCTACATATGGGCGAAGCCACACTGAACACGTGCCTTGATGCCCTCTCCCTGGTACAGCAAACATGCAAACGCCAGTGTACCTCCCTGGGGATGGGCCACCAAGTAGGCTTCAGGCCTGTTGCTGTGGAGAGCGGGGAGCGAAACCCAAAATCTAGGGATGCACCTACTGTTGCTGTATTCCTTGGGGACTTCTGGCATTCCCGCATCGAAAAGCACCTTCATTGGGGGCTACTGAGGCCCCTCCTCGAGTTTTGGGAGCAGTGGGATATTCCAGTGAGATCAAGGGCAAGGGGCACACCTGCGATCACGCAGTTTAATAGACACAGACATTGACTGGCTTGCTGTTTCGTGAGTACTGTGCATCACAGTGCACCAGGAGAGGGGAAACAATAGCTTACGTTGTTATTTGTGTTGCGCCGCCTGCATAGATCCTCCTGCTCCCTGGTAATCATGACCAATTGCAGTACGAAGCAGGGCGCGACCTGCTGCAGCCGCTGGAGAAGGCTGCTTCACAAAGTCCTCTTGTGTTGGCATTTAGACGGCCGACGCTTGTTAATGGAGAGCTTCTATTCTTGCCTCATATGCGTGAAACCGCAAAGCTGCAGCGAATCTTGGCCCAGGCAAAGCAGGTCGGCCATGAAACAGCGTATCATTCTTTTGCTGGAAAGATAGAGCTAACACAGAAAACAAGCCACTGAGCACTGTTTTGTAGCTAGATTGCTGGACCATCGACGCCGTGTTCTTGAGGACGGATTAGATCGGCGCCTCTGTACACACTCAGCGTCAGTTCTTGTGTTCCTTTGCATTCGTATCAGTGTACGACGTTGCGCGCTGTATTCGGCCACCTCAGCATTCGTGGAGCATCGCTTAACCCCTTTTTAGAGGACTCCAGGCTTCTGTCAAGCGATGCCGTAGATCTCAGCCTTCTACCAGATGTGCCTGTCTACAGTGGCCACATCCACACACCCCAGCTTGTCGGTAAACAGGCTCGTTATGTAGGCTCACTCTACCAGGTATGCATTAATAAGACAGACGCCGTTCTTGGCGAACCCTGAAAAAGCAAAGGGACTGCTTAACACCACGTACTTGTATGTCTGTTGTGGCGCTCCATGCAGACATCTCTTGCGGAAGCCTACCAGCGCAAATATATTTATACTATTTCTAGATCTTGTGGCTTCAACGTAGTAGACGCACAGGAGTCTGCAGTTGGCCCCAGACACTTTCCGGTGAACGACCCGAGGCTCTTGCCCGCACCAGAGGCACTGCGCCGTGGAGACAGGGTAGTGCTCCTACCAAAGACGCATGCGATAACCAGAATGCCTGCTCGCGATGAAGCGATCGCTCCTTCCACTCTTGATAGTCTTAATGGACATCAATCAAGGCGGTGTGACACAATGCGCTGTGAGGAGCCAACGCAAGCGCCCCCTACACAGGAGATGAACATGCAGAAATCTAGGAAGCTCTCTGGACAGCATCCTCCTACTGGCAAATTTCCCAGGACACCGAGCACTCTCGTGGAGCCACATAGTGAAGGGGACGCGACCTTTGGCGTGAAGTTGCTGAACGGGAATGCAGAGCTAGATTCGGAGCAGCTCCTGCAACTCTCAGCAGCCTACAAAGATGCAGGTAATGCTATGTCTGCGTACGCTTGATTGCTGAAAGCCACTGAACATTCAAAGACAAAGTATCGGCGTAAGGGCTGGTGAAAGTATTAGTGCCTGCTTGCGAAGCCTGAAGATACAGGATCTGAGTCAGTGCTGTTTGCAGGCATCTTATTTGACTGTCGCGTCACCCCAAGTGCAGGACCCTCAAAGTCTGTCGGAGAGGGTTCTCACTCTGTAGCGGCGGAGCAGAAGACCGAAGGTCCCAGCTCAGCAACTTCTGCTGCATTGTACGTGGTTGCTTAGCGGAAGCATTGCTTGCTCTTATGCATGGACCTGCAAAGGCTACGCCGTTTGTTATCACTAGACATAGTCGTGTTTTGCTCGACGTTTTCGGCTTGCCCTTCAGGCTCTGCATGCATCACGGTCTCCTGCCGGTGGAAAACCAATCTCCTCGCGAGGCCCTGCGCCTCTATGTTTACCAGGAGCTCAAGGGTGGATACCAGACCTTCAGCAAACATGCCTGTGGGGAGAAAAGCATTCTGGCCCCTTTGCAACACTTCATGTTCGAATTAGGCTGTCTTTTTAGTGCAACGCTGCTCATGTGGAAGTATGTGCCAATTCGTCTTGCAAGAGTTCACAATAGTGTACAAGCAAGGAGCTTACATCCTGGCTATGCTTCTGCAAACTGGAGTCTGCTGTTGGATCTGCAGTGGCAGCGGCCGAGGGACTGCTCCAGGAGCAGCTGGACGGTTCTACCAATATCGGACCTGAAAACCCCAGCAAGAGGGGATGCGGCTCAGCAACCAAGAATGCTGAGTGGCCACATGTAGCAGCAGATCTTCAGCTGCACCAGGCCCGCATAGAATCATTCGGTCTTTACAGGTAAGCTGGAAGAGCCTAATTCAGGGACGAATAGAGACATTACTATGTTGACAGCGGCGTGCGACCGGCTGTTCACTGACTTCTATGTCACCTTACCGTCGCTGTCTGAGGACAAGAGCATTGGCGGCCTTCTATAAAGCATGCATATGCTCAAGTGATTTCGTGTTCGGTACAGCGGCGTCGTTCGCCTCAATTTACATAGACGTGGACTTGTTATCATTCAAGGAAGCAAGAACGATGACGCGCAAGGGACTGCATTTACTGAGAACGGCTCTGGTCAGAAATCCTGACTACCTTCCCCAGGCAGCTTCACAGAATCGCTTGTTGAAGCATAGGACGAGTGCCATCGAGTATCACGAGCATGACCAGGATGAGCGACTGTTGGTAGTGTTTAGCGGCTTGTTACTGTGCCCATTCCAAGCTGCATTTGAGCGTGAAATGCAGTTATTTTTGGGATCCCTATTACATCGCCCTTGAACCATGTGGTCCTGAGTATTTGGTGTTTCATCTGTCTAGTTGGAGAGAATTCGTTGGGAGGCGTATAGGTGGCTCGCAGGGAAGTCGACTGTGATGCAAGCTGTTATCTGGGCGCTCGTGGGGGATGGCGCTGCTAGCGGCTTTACTAGTAGTACAGGGAGGCCCAAGGCAAGCCACCAGAATAATGTCATCCAGAAACCTTCGTTCTATCCGCGTCACTAGAAAAAATGATGACAACGCTGCAGGGACACCAAAGTTGAGTTGTCAATATTATGCAGTGACTGTTTAGGTGACGGGTGTAGTCTGCGATGACATCCCACCTGCATCCAACTCAAATAGCGCTTTAATTGAAACCATCGATGGAAAGGCCGAAAGCGATAACGCCCTAGCACGCTGCGACGAAGACCGCTTCGCCTCGGTCGAGCTTGAGGGTGGGCTCTTGGCACTGTGGATAGCGAAAAACCTTTCAGATTAATGTAGCACGCCTCAAACGCACTGAAGAGGCGGTTGCAACAATGACAGGGGATGCTTTTGGATGCGACATTCACGCTGCTGCGAAAACCACATTCACTTAAGATGTTACTTATAGGCGTAGTTCCATTTTTACAGGTAAACTGAATGGAGAGTCGTTTTTCCTGCGGCGGAGGCGGTGGCGTTCGGGACGGTCCGAGTTGACAGTGCATGTCGGAGGCAGGGATTTGACAGGCCAAAGTGCCATAGATACCCAGCGGCAGGTAATCATGTGTCAAAGCCATTGCAGCAAACCCGTCAGTCTATTGTGAACAAGACGTCTATAGACCTGGCCAGCCGTGGTGTGCGTGTTTCTGCAGCTGGACTCTCTTTTTGGTGGTAAACTCAAGGCTTGGAGTCAGTTCATCTACCTGGCATCTCAGGGGTTAGATGGATTGCTACGCACCTCTGAAGCAACATTTTCCGTGCGTGGTTTCGTTGTGCGTTGCAGTGCTCTCCTATAAGATGTGAGAAAAGTCAACAGCTTTTGTCATGGGTTAACTGTGACGAAAGGGCTTTCTCAATATGACTGCACGCAAACGCTTCTGTCCTCTGACAGGAACTCCTTGCACTGCTTGTCCCGCTTGATGTTTGGACCGCCGCGACTGCAACAGCACGGATGAGGCGACGCGCTCTAAGCAAAGCAGCGGACGAGCTTGATCTAGTAGCGGCGGTCAGGTATGTAAACGTAGACGGCCAAAATGCGTCCCACGGAGAAGACTGTCACAGGACAAAAAGTTCTCCTTCTTGTTCAGGCTAAGGGACGTCCGTCGCCTCTTACGCCGGAAACGGGGTTTCAGCTCCCCAGATCTGCTGGAAATGAGGCCTTTTAATGCAAGCTCGCGCGGAGGGACTGATGCAGACTCAACAGTGAAGCTGGCCAGCTCAAAGGGAGAAGCCCACAGGGACTATAAATTTGAATCAGTCCTTGAAACTTCCCGAGATTGGCTAAGAGATGCTTCGCAAGATTACGCTGGGGTTCTAAAGCAACTAGCGCGGTTGCAAAGACTAGTTTCTCTGTTTCAATCTCGCGCCAGATTTTACAGGTGGGTGACAGACGGGTGTGGGAGTGTTCGCATGCCTGTCGGAGCCCTTCATGATGCTCAGAACCTTTTATGCTTAACGTTTCGTCCTCAGGCGCCAGGAGGAAGTGCTGGAATCAGCAGAGAAGCTCTTGGGCTCCCAAGGAATTCAGCGGAATTTGCTCGCGTAAGGCGTCATTGCACTAACCGCTGTCTGGCTAGACTTCCCGTATCGCATATGCCGAAAGCATTTAGCTGCACAAGCAGGCATGCCTGCCTACATTTGGAATACAAGCAGGCATGCCTGCCTACATTTGGAATGGAGCAGCGAAATTTATACTCTCTTTCGGGGTCGTTCTGCTTTCCCGCCGTCAATTCTCTCTTGTAAGCCCATGCTTATCTTTTCACGCAGTTGCGCCAAAGCAGTAATGCCTCTGTGGTTGTGGAGCAGTTTTTTGTGGCTAGGTCCGTACTTCGCCAACTAAAGACACAAACAAATATATACCTTGAACAAGCCAGCGGGGGATTGCTCCGACTCGACTTTGCGTCGTCGGGAACAGCTCGTATGAATAAGGTGCTGAGCATCCGAGGCTTCGACGGCGCCTTCAGGCAAGCAACTCGTTGCACATGTTCACTCAGCCAGCCGCCTCGCGTGGTGTTCCGACACGCAATTTTAATTAAATAGGTGCTGTGTGCGGCTTAGAGAAAGGACACTCCAGCAAGCGTCGAGCGGGCAGCGCCAGTTGCTCGCATTGTGCCTCTACCTCGCTTTTGTGGTTACAATTAAGCGACGTGCCGGCCTTCGATGCAACGCTCTATTCCTTGACGAACCCTTGCTGTCTCTTGATAGCGTAAACACGTAAGCGTTCATTTTACATCCTGGATTTAATGCATCTTTCAGACAATTTCAACAGTGTGAGCTTACTTTAGGTGCTAACATAGTTGTGCTGTGGTCGCAACAGAAAGCGTGTGGTGAAACTCCTCCGAAGCCTTGTTAGCAAGCCTCAGGGGTCACACCTGGCCGAATTTGAAAGCATATTCCTCACTCAACATGTAAGGCGTCGGTCCTCCCATGAATTAATATGTAGCACAGTAGGGGCCTGTGGTGCTACTTTTAAACCGCCCAACAATGCGTGATGTTCTCCGGGATACCTTGTTTCGGGCATGAGTTTTTCTTTATCTGTGAAATGCAAAAGTGCACTTCATAGTCCTGACCTGAAGCTGTATGTTAACTGCCGTGCGTTCAGGGTCTTCATCCTCATAATTTGCGACGCATTCTTGACGCCGTGGATACTATCACTCTTCAAGGACAATCAGGACATTGCAATATCAGCACGTCTGTTTTCCTAAAGCACCCGTGGAGAGCTAGTACTTTGGCACTCTAGACACTACAATATGAGCACGCCTGCTTTCCCTTAAAGCACCCCTGAAATGCCAATACGGCAAAGCTGTCCACCGACACGGGTGACTAGACAGATGGTTCACTGCTGCGAGCAGGTCCTTTCACCTTCCCAAGGCGGCAAGGCACCGGGCAGACCTCTCTGTAACACAATAGCTAGACTGCCAAGGTTAAATATTAAAAGGTTAAATATTAGAATGCCCGTTGTGTTACTCAGGGTAAACTGGTAGCTGCATCGCATGCAGAGATCGTCTGCAATAGAGCCCCACGAACACTGTCAGTTTCATCCGCATAGAGCACGAAGTGCAAGGTCGACTCGCCACTGATGTCGCTCCCTGTAGCGCATATAAGTCTCACGCAGGATAAACAGGAGGACGTGTTACAGAGGATCTCCATTTTGGCCTGTAGGGTGCCTTCAGCCTTTCACACCGTTCTGTTCTATGCCAAACTGAGGCTTCTTGGCGTCCCCAAAACCCTTCTTTAGTTAGGTTGGATCGCATTGCCCCAAGCTTGCAACAAGCTTGACCGTACATTGTTTCGTCCAGACTACTAGCACCATGCTCTTAAGATGTTCGTGCTCCTGGTTCCATGCTGTGAGGGTGTTCGTGCTTTGCGTGAAGTAACTTACCATGAGGCTGTCCTGTGTAGGCTGCTGCTGTGTCTGCAACGCCCACGACAGTTACCGCTGCCCACGCTCCTCGTCTTTGTGATAGTAGCCAAGTGCTGAAACGCATGAACAGGGCACAGGACTTTTTGTCCCTGGATTTTCTGGCTATTTCGCTGCATACACTCGACTTCCGCAGTAAAGGTAAAATTTTGCTTCATAGCTGGACGTGCTTTCAACGTTGTGTGCCAAGGTATCCACTTACTACAACGACTCTGAAGCTGACACCACAGCAGCCGAATGAAGAAGTCCTCCAGATGCACTGGCCACGGGAATCTACAGAGAGTGCAGATGTTCACAATGAGTGACCCAGCAATTTTCCCAGTCTGGTAGTGTAGCTCTTTTGACGAACAAAAGTGAATCAGCCATCTTAGACGCAAGTACCGTAGAAGCACTCCGCGCTCCTCCCCACAGAACTGCAAGATGGAACACAAACTGAATGCTTTGCGTAAAACGCTTGTGCTGTGAAATTTACGGCCTTACTGATTGTGGGTCCGTCCTCCGATCTGCTTTCCGAAGCCACCCACAGTCATCCTGAGCAGCACACACAGTCAGAGCACCCAATACACCATAACATGGCGAAGTTTCCACAGTGAAGTGCTGCATTGAAGACTATTATTTTTTGCGAGGTGCTGGAATGACGCTCAGTTGCGCAGAAAGTGCGCAATGACAATGTAAGCCCTGAAGTACGGCCTCAGCTGACAACCATGCTTACATTGTTCACCGGCATGTCCATGCCGAGGCAACCCAGGTACTCTGTGACACTAGTGAATAGGGCTTCCGCCTGTGGTAATTTCCTGAAAGGAGGTGCAGCCGCAAGCTGCAGCGCCTCCTCAGTGTGAGAGGCGCTTTCCGGTGCTGCTTGGTGTCCTTTACTCCCATGCTGAGACTTCGCTGATCGCCGCTTCTGTCTTTCATGCAAGAGTTGAAGAGCTTCAAGAAAATCTGGTCGGAGTGGGGGAGCCTGTCGAGGACTGCTTACGGGGGACAGTGGTTCACTGCTGCTGCTGCGTCTAGAGCTTGCTTTGCTCAAGGAGCTCTGCGCCTTGGCTTGGTTTGGGATTCTCACACCAGGGTGGCCGGCTGTTTTCCTGCTGCATCTGTGCCTTTCTACGACAGTTGCATCGGTGTGCTCACTCGGAAGAGGACGGCGTTTTGGCGCCGCCACTGCAGCAGCTGCAAAGAATTTATCCCAATCTGGCAGCAAAAGGCGGCTTGGCATTTGAGTAACGGGAAGATCTGGCGTCATTAGGAGGTCACCTTCTTGCTGCGTGTGTGCATTTGCCATCGTGGATGCAGCCAAAGCAGCCTCTTCCGTCATGTCCATGATACCCCCTCTGTAATCTGACAAGCGACACTGCAGCTGCACAAGGTGGCAAGTGGCATCTGGGCTGCCTCCCGCTCTCAAGAGCAGCTGCAGTTGCTCCGCCATCCTGCGCCTTGCTTCTACGCTTTCGCAGTCTCCTTCGGGTGCTGCAAAAGCATCGGACCGCCAATGTGTCGAAGATGATTTTGCACGGTATACACTAATTGACACCATTTGAAACAACTACCGAGCCTTCAAAATCAGTGGTTGTCTAGGATCAAAAGGCGCCTGACAAAGGCACCTGCGTTTACAGTGTGAGTTGGAGCAACGGAAACAGCAGCTCCTGCTGTCACAGGCAACAGATGCCTGCCTCTTTTCCGGGGAATCAGCCAAACTATTTGCCTTACGTGCAGTGCTGGCGAGGACGTCAACAGGCTCCAGTGAGCTGAGACCACGTTGAAGCTTCACGTACAGGCGAGACGGCGGGTATCCGGTTTGCATTTCCCTGTCCGGCCATTGGCTCTGCGTCTGGGAATGCCGGGCACTTTCTCTGGGCGGCTTCTGATGGCGTACAACTGCTGGATGCTGCACGTCGATCTTTAGATAGCGGGTTCCAGGGGGCAAAGCTGCAACGGCAGACAGAACGAAGCGGGGCAGCATGCAACGGCAGGACCATCCCCGCAGAAGCTTTCACTGCAGTTCCGCTGCAACCGAGTAAGAAAACGGCGACAGGCGCATAGTCAAAACACTACAAAAGGAAAACACCGTACATTTCCGCATAAAGTGAGGCAGCCGCATCCACGTGTCGAGTCCCAACACCTGTGCGGTAAAGCGGTCCAACTGAACGCGCACCAACAAAAGCAAACGAAAGTCTACGAGGTCCGATGCTCTCTGGGCCCTTATAAGGTGCCTGTCTTGTCCACGGATGGTAAGCGCCTTTCACCACGAAAAAAGGTAAGACAAAAGCACTAGGGCACGGACGAACGTGGCGACGCCACACCAACGTACGCCACCGTATTTGGGAGAATAAACACAATACATATTGCCTTGGGAAAGAATAACATGGCTGAAATACCCGTGCTGAACTACGGCCATTCAGAGTGGGCCACGATGCGGCCAATACAGCTAAAGATCATGTCCAGGCACTTCAACATGTTGACAAGCTCTTTCAACATTTTTATAAGTCCGCATACCTTCAGAATCATGATTCCATCATTCTGGAGACAAGCTGCATTCATGTCTCCCCCAGTGTCTCCAACCACCGAGCAGGAAACCCCCGCTCCATCTGCTGCAGATGCACCACTGCAGGCAGCAGCGCCACCCGGTCCACGCCATGTAAGCACTGATCCCTGCCATCGCTTAAGCAGAAGCTGCTGCAGCGGAAGGTGCAGGAACGATTCTAGGCGAACATTTCTTAAACAAATGCAGCAGCTCCTGTTTGCCACCTGCAAGTCCTCAAACAAGCAGAACCGAATTTTCGCTTCCTGCACAATCACTCTATGTGCAGCCATTCATCCCATATATGAAGATCATGCCTTACACAAGAAATCGCCGCTTTAAGAGCAGACTGGGCGCCTGCTGTTGAGCCTTGTGAGCCATCCGATGCCACCAGGAATACCTGCAAGCGTGGTGCATGCAGCACACGCGCACGCCTGCAGTGCCAAATATGTCTTTGTCACGTCTAGCTGCTGGCCTCCTCATTGCTGTCTCATTCTAGATGTCACACTCGAGACCGAAATATCCTCAATGATTAATTCCGTTCCAACACTGCAAGCGCTACGTGGGTTGTGGCAGTGTTTGGTGCTAGACGGCTGGACTTAGGCATTTCGCATTTCCAGAGTGTGCAGATGCTGTACAGTTGATTTGTTCTGGCGGACCTGCTGATTGTACGGGTGCCGAGTTAGCGCATGAGAGAAAAGTTTCAAAAGGGGAAGTCCCTCTTCCACGCGGAGGGAATACCGGGCTTTTGGCAGTTGAGAGGCAGATGGTTCCACGCCGTCTCTTCGGAAGAACATTAGCTTACTGATGGGCTTCTCTAGGATAAAATGACTTAAAAATGTGCATCACTGATGCCAGAGAAAGACGGCCAAAACAGAGGGGGTCCTTTTTGCAGTGGTCAGTGTTCCAGCAATGGTGAAGGCTGCTTGGACACAGAACCCTCAATAAATATAGCAATGACCATAAGCAATAACTACTAAGCAAGTCTATATATATTATGTACGAGGGGACCTAAGGGGATCGAGGCAATCCAGGCTCAGCATCAAGGCCCGCGTTTGGGGCTGCTGGTGACTCGAGCGCATTGCGCAGCGGAAACACAGCAATTCTGTTTCGTTGGCGACAGAACTCTTCGAGTTGTCGCATAATGCGATTTACTCTATACTCCTTTATTATTGTTCCTTGGGAACTCCTGCTGGGAGTGCACCTAGCTTGGCCTTGGTTCACGCATGAGTTGCGGTGGGCGAAGCATATTTCAGTGGCGGCGCTAAACGAATGAGCGTAATACGCGAAATCTGGGACTCCACCGCTCCTTTGATCATGAGTTTCAACATAAACTTAACACATAATCACAACAGACACGTTCTGTGGTGTGCTTGAGCGGTCTCTTGCTCAGATCGGCATGCAGGGTTAGCGACCGTCGTCGATACTGGCCCCACCATGACCGTTCACGTGACCAATTGCTTGCTGGCCCTTATGCAACATTGCCACATGCGCCAATTTGATAAGTTTCTGAACTTACTGGCATATAAAATGGCAAAAATGCATGTGTTTTGGACCCATGTGGGGACTTTTGGGGACCTGCCAGCTACCTCTCACCCCAGGCTCAACTTACCGTGTTAGGCATTCTTTACTTGAATTACCCATGTTGCACTCGTTTAGACACTGCAATACAGCTTGTAGACCTCTAGATCCGGCTGCGCTTTTTCACACCTTAGACTGCACTCGACGTTGAAACATAAGTGGATATCGGCTTACTACAAGTGAGCATTAAAATTGCTTCATTTGGAATTACAAGTTACGTACAAACCGCATAAAAAACGAGCCATGACAGTGGCTACACCCTGCGAGCGCTACGGGCGAGATGGGGGTTCGGAGCAACCCTGCGGGTAACCAGGACCCTGTGCAACCTGCGGAACCAGGTGTTTCGGAGGCTTATCAGCTGTCTTTTGAGTCCCTTCAAGACTCTCTGTTCCCCTAGTTAGATTTTGATTTGTTCAATCGATTTCAATAGAAGTACGGGGCGTAATAGATAGTAGGCATCCTGCTGAGTGCAGCGCTGCCCTGCAGCCCTGATATCTTCTTCAGGGCCAAATAATTGCAAACCGTTGGCTCAAAATCACTCTAATTCGACATTTCTGAACCTAAAGACCTCTAGCACCCAGCGATTTGTGGTGCGGTAGCCGTGCGCCTGCCTAATGACCTTGATAGGTACACGTCGCGAGGATGCCCAGCATCCGCGAGCCAACCCGGGCATGGTAGCAGAGCCCTAAAATCCAGGGCTAGGTTCCACCAAGGCACCAGAGAGATTGCGCAGAGAGATAAGTTGAGGAGGTAGCAAGAAGACGACCCTCCATAAATGGAGTGTGCCAAGGAGAATGCGGAGTTTAAGCGGCAATTCGGGCAGCTGCAAAACTTCCTTCCCCATTTGAACGTAGAGCGATTAACACCAGAGACATCGCAGCTGCTTCCACTTGAAGGAGGTGGAAAAATGGGAACCTTCAGTGTGCCAAAGATGCGGCTCACGAAAGCAGGTTTGCATTAACGCGACTGTGAGAGCGTGCTACGGGAATGTCTACACTCTTGCGCAGTGGAAGGACATGGTTGGTACAAATGCAGACACGGGCCAGTGGGGAAGAGTGAAGCATGAGGTGCTCCAACTGCTGTGCGTTATCTGCGCAGTACCTATTTTACTTATTGCAGCCAACTGGTGGCAAGGAGATCCCTGCAGGTCCTCGTTACAACAGAAGAAAAGACGCCTGCAGCTGAACTTGCGGAATACTGCGTGGCTAAGCTGCACCTCGAGCTCTGCAGGGTCCCAATAAAACTGCCACCACCAACTTTAAGTATTACAGAGAAGCAGCAGAAGGATTGGCAGCAGCGGCCGCTTGCTGACGGTGTTGTTTATGTGGTGTGGGAGCGACTGACTGTCGGGGGCTTTTACCGTGAGACGTACATGAATGGCCTTGTCCTAGGATCTGACTGGCTAATGCGCCGGTACTTATATTTCGATAAGGCAAGATCTAAGAGCATCCAGATGCAAAGCAGCAGGACGGACAGACGAAGTTGTGGGCTAGCAGAGCAAGCCGTCGGCATGCTGCCCTGACAGATGTCTCAGATTACCGCAACTAAAACCTTCTCCCCTTCGCCTCACGCCCAAACTCTTCAAGGCACATAACAAAGACTAAACTCCTGTTTCAGCCTCTCGTTATGGGCTCCCCACTGCTGCTGCCATTCTTCATGAACTAATATCTTGCATATGCGTTGGTAGATAGGCACATTGCCTAAGTTCAAATAGTTTTGAGCTACGCGCAGCGCGGGCTATGTCCAATAGCCCAATTTTTGATACGCACTGGCACTTCCGGCCAGGGACGGGTGGCCCGACCTCAAAGGCAAAACCGCTCACTGTTCTTGACCTCGTGCCTTGAAAAATGAAATAAATTGGTATCCGATTGCAGCCAGTAGTTTGCAACTCCCCAGATATCCTGTGGCACAAAGTTAGTGGGCTTACGGTGCTGCCAGATTAATCTATGGCAATGCGACGACATTTTTGCTGATTAGACTTTCCATGGCCATAGAAATTTCAACTTGATGCGGAAGCCCTGGAAAAAGTCAGATAAAAACTAATGTTCTGGCTGTTCCAGCAATGATCGGCAGCTAAACTAACAAGAAGGTGAGCGAACCCCGTCCTCCAAAATCTCCTTCTGAGCAGCATCTCTCATAATCATTGATTTTCCATACCAAGGTCGATGAATAGGTGACGCCTTCTTCGAAAAGATACTACACGCATATGGCAAGTTTCGCATTCTGAAACCAGTACGCTTCTTTATCTATAACTGTCAGCCTGAGCAAGTCGCGGGCCAATTTGGGTTCGAGAGGCAACTTATACGGACGTTACCTGCCTTATGTGACGGATTCTTTGTGCACTGTCTCTTTTTTCAAGAGGCCAGGAGCTATGTTCACCGTGCCACCACCAGTGGCTATGAGATTTACGTATTTAGCAGACATTTGTGACAGTGGAGTCCTGAGTTTTCTCTGCACGGAAGCATCATTAAACGCTCTTCGGAAAGCTGCTTCGAGAATTATCCCGGAATGAAATACTGCGCCTCTAAGTATACTTGTGCCTTTAGGACAGGGAAACGCAACCGGAACAGATTAGCTACTGAGGAACTAGGTGCCGCTAAAAAATGCGCTAAATAGCCTGTACCATAAATGGTCCGTATCATTGATGGCGGGATTGAGTCAAAAACCATCGCTGCCGGCACTGCTGAGTGGGCAACTGCCATGAACTTGCTTGTGGAAAATTCAGGTGCTTTCACAACTGCCATCTAACTAAAGAATTAACGCGAAAGGCTCACTATCCAGTGATCCACAATCAGGCACTCTACCTCCCAATGAGCAGATGCTTCTCTTCTTGGCTTAACCTGACGAAAGTGTACTGGCAGGTGGAACAAGAAATATTAGCTTTTAAGTGTCTTGCACTTACTGCATAAACGGATCTCTACGAATGGAGGCGCGAATCATTCAGCGTCGCCGCATGAGCGGCATCAACGGCTCCTAAAAAAGGGATTTTCGCGGTTTAGTGCGAAAGCGGCACCGTTGTCTTTTTAGAAGAACATATAACGCGCCGCACACAAGAGATTTTCTCCCTTGCCATGTGAAGGGGCATATGCAGTTGCAGTTATGCTAAACGTCACTGTGTCAGCAAGAGACAAAACGCCTGCAACTGTGTTTTACTACACAAAGAAGTCGGAAAATTATCAGTAGGACACAGTAAATACAACAATTTTCTTTCAGTTTACTGGCTGCAGGATGGCACGGCGGGTTTTGGAGATCGGCTGCTGCTACGGCCTATTTGCTATGCGAGATTGGCGGAACCGCTCCAGCGACAAAATATGATATTAGTTCAAGGCAATGAACACGATGCAACCTCTAGTAGGCTCGGAACGAAACTTTTAGGGGTTAGACAGACGGTTGAATTGCAACCGCATATGCTGTTTACCTTACTCTGACGTATCAACGCGATGCAAATCAACATCATGGCAATAGAGGGAAGAGGCGGCCGGTTTGTGCTCTATGCTGTTTCCTTCACTAAAATTCCAAAAAGTGCGTACAGTAGAGCTAGCGTGTTTTGAACAATTTTGGGATCCAAAAGTTGCGCGTATATGGAAGAGGCTGTATCACGCTCCTGCCCACAGACCGTATCCTTGTAATTTGTGTTGCCAGCAGGCAAGTCTGCACGTCTTGTGTGTGAGTCGGTACACCTTTAAGAAAATTCTTTCGAGAGCTACAGCTTTTGTAGTACCAGTCGCAGCCCTCCCGCTTCCCTACATATGAGTCACTTCGACTTGGATCTTTCCCTCGTTCATCTAGAGTAGGTCCACACATTGCATAGTTATTAATAGAAATTCTCGGTTCATCTTTCCAGAGTGTGTATCTAAGCTGTGTGGTACCCGCAACGTTGCTGCGTACATGGAGCTGTGCTGTGGAAAGGAGGATTCGCTTGTGCATACATGGATAAGAATACCAGGCTTCCTTAAGTTTTACGTTAAAGGTTTTTTTTCTGTATTTAGTTTCAACTGGATAATTGTATATATATGCGCTTGAGTTTGCTGAGCACAGCTACGCACATAGGAACTGCGTAGGCACAGATCACTACACCGTTGGTCTTCGAGTCTCACGGGGCCCCCCTAGAGCGCAACACAGTAGGTGCACATCTTAGCCGCCTCTAAGATTATTTTCGCAAAATAAAGAGGCTGTAGCAATGCGCCATGAGGTCCTTTTTCAGTGGCCGGTCCCCACGGCTCCGCTCGAGCAATGCCTGGGACATGCTCAGTGGGGCCCGCCGTGGCATATCGGAGGCCCGCCTTCCCAACGCTGATGGGGCCCCTAAGCGCCCCACAGAGAGCTCTGAGAGGCCTCATGGGGCCTCCAGGGACCCCGTATCTGCCCGCGGCGCCAACGCCGCAGAAGACTGCCTGGACGCCCACCGCGCGTTTGGGGCGCTGTTTGAAGAGGAACGCGTGCCTGTCGACGAGTTTGGGAGCCCCTCTTATAGGCCACCAGTAAACGTACAGATTCAGAGGGGAGGGGGCCCTCCAGGCTCGCGGGGGCCCCCAGGGTCACCATCTCCCGGCAGCACGCGGATGTTTGGGAAGTCCCGTTTCAACGTCAAGGGCCTCAAAGACAATGAGTCCCTTTACCAGCCTTCGCTGTGGCAGCAGCTGCTGAAGCAAGAGCAAGACAAGCGCATGCAAAGGCACGCGCGCGCCGCTAAGCGTACAGTGCAGGTCTTGGGCTCCAAGGCAGCACCGAAGGTCATTCAAAGCCCCAGCCCCGCGAGCCCCCACAGGATGCTGCCCGAAGCAGCTGCAGCCCCAGACGATGGGGCTTCTGGCCCCCGAGGCCTCCCCCAGGCAGCGAGAACTGGGGGGGGTCTCCACTCCCCCAGAGCCCCCAGCGAAGTCCACGAGGCTACAGCGCCACGCCCGCCTCCAGACTGGCGGGACCTGTCGGACCTGCAGCAAAGTGTCGAGCTGCATGCACGGATAAGGCCAGCAGAGCTGCCGGGGAGCAGCATGCATGGCAGGGGGCCCCAGGGGGCAACTGGGGCCCCGGAGGCACTTGTCGCTGAGCCATACGATGGCCCCCCCCTGCCTCCCGATCCACTCTCTGAGGACCCTGGGCTTGCTGCTGCTTCCGCTGAGCAGCCCGTGGCAGCGGAGGGAACAGAAGAGGCAGAGCTAATTGAGACTGAAAGCCCCGTGGCCAAAGCTGCGCATGCAGCGCGCATGCCGCGAGGTCTTTGGGAAAAACTTTCTCCCCAGCACCTGCACACGCAGCAGCGGCTGATGAGAGCCAAGGGCCCCGAGGCCATCCTGGAGGCGATTGCTGCAGCAGGAGAGGCTGTGGGGGGAACGGCCGCTGCAGAGCCTCCCTCGACGGAGAAGGCTGCTGTTCCTGCTGCTGCTGCTGCTCCTGCTGCTGCTGCTGCTGAAGCTACACGACTGCACCTGGCGCAGCACTTCGGGCTCGACCCTGTGAACGCAGTGACTGCTGTGCACCGTCTGGGGCGCCTCGTGAGCCCCTACACGCGAAGCTCCGTAGTTTCTGACCGCCGCTTTCTGCTGCTGCTGGAGGCAGCGCATGCAGCGCTGCCGCTGCTGGACCCCCAGGGGGCCTCGAACATGCTGTGGGGCCTCATGCGCCTGGAGCACCCCCCTCAGTGGCTGCCTCAGTTGTTAGCTCGCTGCGGGGCTCTGGCTCCAGAACTTTCTCCCCACCAAGTGGCCACTTGCCTGTACTGCCTCAGCATGCTGCCGGCCTGTGCCTCTCTGGCTGAGGGGAGGGCCCTGCACGGGGCCCTTCTTGAGGCTGTGCAGCGAGTGACTCCCCACATCCAGCGCCCCCTGGACCTCACCTGCGTCTGCTGCGCCTTGGCCCGGCTGCGCGTGAGAGACTTCGGCCTTTTTGGGGGCCTCGCAGCACGGGCCAAGGCCCTGCTGCCGCAGCTGTCAGTTTCCGAGCTGGCCTCCGTCTCGTGGGCCTTTGCCGCCGTGGGCGTGGCGGACAAGGGGCTCTTTGCGGCGGTGCAGCGCAGGCTCGAGACGGAGGCTGAGCTCTGCGCCCCGGGGGATGTTGTGCAGCTGGCCTGGGCCTTAGCGCGGACGCTGGAGGACTCAAAGGACTTGTTCGACTACACTCTAACCCCCATCATTAGGGGGGCCCTCCCTCAATTAAATGCCCGCCAGCTCTCAACGATCGCCTCGGCCTACGCCCAGGCAGGTAAGAAGCGGCTCAGTGAGCCCCGCTAGAGAGTCCCTGAGGATACACTTTTGTGGGATTTCCTGGAGACCAGTGCTCCCCTGTTTTGGCCAGTTCTTTGCTAGTTTTGTAGTTCCGTTCATGGACCCCTGACATGCTGAAACGCAGACGCCCCTGCGCGAAATTCGATAGGTGCATTTGCAGCTTTTGAGCGAAGTAAGAAAAAACTCACCCACTCTTGGCAAAGTCTGCCTTCTGCTGTGCCTCAGGGGTGCAAGACGAAGAGCTTTTGGCTGACTTGAGTGTGACGATGCTGCCGCACTTGAGCGCCTTCAGCCCTCAGCAGCTCGCAACCACCGCGGTGGCCTTCGCAGTTCTGGGGTACTCCAACGCGGAGTTCATGAAAGTCTTGGCTGAAAAGGTCGTCAGCCAGTTGCCTTCATTTTCTCCAAAGCAGCTCTCACGCACAGTTTACGGCTTGGGCGTTGGGGGGTGTACAGACACTCGAGCTCTCGACAGCTGCTGCAGCATGCTGCAGCAGCGTTTGCATGCGCTGCCTCCAGAAGGGGTGGCGCAGGCCCTCATAGGGCTCTCTGAAGCGGAGTACCTATCACACCCGGCGGTGCCTCAGCTCCTGCGCGCCGTTGGACGGAAGGTGGAACGGCTTTTTGCGGAAGACTGCGTGCAGCTGCTGCTGCTGCTGAGCAAGGTCGACTGCGCTGCTCGTCCTCCCCAGCTCCAGCAGCAGCTGCAGCACCAGCTGCAGATCAAACTGCGCAGCCACTGGTGCCTGGACTGCGCGAGCCTGTGCGACCTGCTGCATGCGCTGCTGTTGCTGCGGCTGCCGGACCCACAGCTGCTGCAGCTGGCCATGCGCCGGCTAGCCTACTTGCTGGGGCGCGCCTCTACCCGGGAGTTTCTGCGCCTTTTAGGGTGCTTTGCAGCCCTGCGGGCAGAAGAAAGGCTGCTAATCCGCACGCACATCCACAGACGCCTCAAGGTGCAGGCTGCCCTCTCTGCGCAGCTCCAACGGCTTGCAGGCATGACAATCGATCCCGACTCCACCGCAGCGCTGCTGTTTGCCTGCGCGCAGATTGGATTCGTAGACGACGCTTTCATCAAGTAGGTCAAAGGTTGCTGTCTTAACAGAGTGGAAACGGCACAATGTAGCTGCATGGAACGATTTATGAATACGAGAACTAAAAACATTTACAGATCAGCAAGTCCTCTGTAGGCTGACCTAAGGGTAGGCTTTTCAAGCACCTAGTTCCTTCTCTGCATACAAAATGCACACCCGTGCAGGCTTTGTGCTGAATTGCTCAACCAGCGTGTGGTGAGCTACTGGCCGCTGCTGAAAGGGCTCGTGAAGAGCTGCTGTGTACTTCGCTGTGCTGTGTACAGAATGGCTGAGGGCCTGCAACACAAGATAGAAACAGAAGGAGAGGCCTTGGCGCTGCCTTCTCTTTGCCACTTTCTTTGGGCCACTACGGAGGTGAGGACGGCGCCGGTACATGGATCTTCTTTATTTGCCTTCATGCCTATACATTCATTGCGGCTTCGCTGTGACGAAACTCTGCAGCTGCATTTCGAAGACTGAGCAGGAGAGTTCCTGCTGCGGTGTGCCTCCAAGGCTCGAGACCCTGTCTTAACTGCTCTAGCCTGTCTCGACTAACTACAGCAGCAGCAGCAGCAAAAGCTTGTGCGGCGTGGCTTCCTGCAGACCCACTTCAGTCTTGGCTGGACTCGGAGCGTGCTGCGCTACGTGCTGACCCGGCGCTATGGAGCAAAGGACCCCCCTGCAGCAGCTGCTGCACCAGAGGATTCCCCAGAAGCAGCAGGCGCTGCACCTGGGGAATCATCCGTTTCATTTCTGGCTGCAGAAGAGAGAGAGGCATTCTGCGAAGCCCACCAGCTCGGGAGGTACAGGGGGGGCGAGACCTTGCCGCCTGGCCTCGACAAGGGGGTTCTGCAGAACACAGCAGACGCGGGGGACGATCACCCGCACGCCTCAGCGCTTGCTGAGAGTCTCTTGAGGCTGGCGTTTGCCTGCGTCTCCCTTGGAGAAGAAGACTACTTGCTGCCTCTACTGGAGGAAGCCGCAAGGTGAGGCTCATAGTGAACTTGTTTAACAAGGGCTCTTTGCTAGTGTCACAGTGTCTGCTGCTGCAGTGGCGGAGCCAATGGGCATTTTGAAACCGGTTTGCTGCTTATTTGCTGCTCAGTCTCTACGGACCTCGGCTGCCTCTGGATCTGCTCCCGGCGCAGCAGGTTTGTCTCCATGTCTCTCGGTTTGCTGGGCCTTCGTTAGGGGGCCAGCCCTCAAAACAGCTGAAGGGGTGGCTGCAGTCGGTTTTGGGGGCCCCCCGGTACGACGTGTTCCACAAGGGGAGTCACCAGAGCAAGTATGGCCCCGGAACGTCTCGGCTGCGCGTCAAGGACTACAACTATGACGCTTGGCTCTCTGAGCCCCTCATACAGGTGAGGCTTTGCTGCTGCTGGCAATGTCGCTGGGCGTAAAGCCGCTGCAGCAGCTGCCTGAGTGCCGCGGCTGCTTTCGGCGCATGCAGCAGCATACAGTAATGCAGAATGGAGCCACCTGTACACAACTCTAGCTGCGGAATGTGCATGCTGGAGACGTTTTTCCAGATGTTTTTTGCCGGATGAGTGACTGGTTTCTTCGTGAGATGCAGTGAATGCAGGCTACTTAGGTTTCCGATTACCAGAGTTTAGCGTTTCACAACATGCATGGCTTTAGCGCAGCACTTTTCACGAACTTGACTCCTACCTCAGCGTATAGAAGAGCTAATTATGAACAAGCAGTCTAGACTTGAAGCACTTCGAGCCATACATGAAAATCTGAAGTGTTGAAATTGCGCAATGGCAAAATAAGCAGCTCTCGCTAACCTTGGATCTGAATGCTTGTTGGCAGCAGAGGGCAGAGGCTCATCTTTTGCCCTTTTTCCCTCTTTGCAACCAGTCTCATGCGCCTTCTTTTTTTTAAAAAAGAGAGGCGGACAGCTAACGCACGCGCATTGTGAATTGCATTTGTCTTCCGCGGATTTGTTTGGCTTTGTTTCGCAGATGAGGATACCTCACAAGGTCACTTTCGTGTTGGAAGATATCTACAGAGTCAGTGTGGCGTTCCCAATCGAAAAGCATCTCATTGACGTCCTCACGTTTCAGGCAAGACTCTTTTTTCGATGGGGGGCCCCAAAGGGCCCCCTTGAAGAAGTCTGATGCAGCACTTTTACTCTAGGCACTTCTTGGTCCCTGCATCGAGGAGGCAGCCGAGCCCAGCAGCGGCGGAGGTTATCCATTGGATCCTTTCTTTGGAGGCTACTGAAGAATGACTGAGTTTCTTGTTTTGTCTGTTTTTGACTCTTTGCAGGACCTTCTGGCGCCATCTAATAAGCCTACGGCCACCGCAGAGTTGCGCCAGCGCCAGCTCACTTTTCTGGGTAAGCAGCGCTCTGCTAAGCATCCACAGAACCCAAACAATGAGTTATTCAGGAGCCTCTTTGGCGGGTAAAATGCACAATGATATTTGACGAAAAGACTGCTGCTGTGAGCCACCTGCGTGGTGCTGCAGGCTGGACTGTGCACTCTGTGCACCTGAGAGCCCTGTACTCTGCAGTCCTCGACCGCAACCTGAGGAGCTTTGTTGCACACATTGCAGCTGCTTGCTGCCCGCAAGCCGCGGAGTTCGCCAATTTCACAAATCCTAGCCAGCAGCAGCAGCAGCAGCAGCAGCCCCCTGCAGCTGCCGAGGATCTGATCTCGTCTGTGAGCTCGCTGCTGGGCACGGACACCCTTGAGCACTTGCCGTCGCTGCAGGTGGGCTTCGGCCCCAATCCCTTTCTGGCTATTCTGTCCTTTGCCCCCACTCCGGAATTTTTGTATTTTCCTGCTGTTCTGTCTGCGCCGAAATAGAGAGGCTTGCTTTAGTGTGGAGGCATTCAATCGCCTACATTTCATACTTATTGAAAAGATTATTCTTTTCCTGATTGGCGCGCAGAGTAGAAGGTTTGAAGCCTTCGAACTCGACGACGATGATCTCGGAGAAAATGGCACTAACGGCCACCCCCGGCGGCTCCGGATTCCCCGGGGCCGCAAGACTGTGGCTGAAGGAACTTCTAAGGAGGTTGTCAGTGGGAGAAGCATATCTCCGGATGAGCCCCTGAGCCCTGATGTGGGAAATGATTTCTAGCCTGCACTGCCAAACAGTATACACGCTGGGGGCTTTTACACAGCAGCTCCAGGCGAACTGCTGCAGCGCTACTCTAGGCAATGAAGCTACCGCGAATAAACCTCTCGAATTCCTTGGGATGAGGGTTTAGGGATTGGGATTTTAGTCACCGAAGCTTCGCACAGTGATGCTTGCGGCAGGATTAAATCGTGTGGAATGACTTTTTATTCTTGAATTTTGCTGTATGCATTGTGTTTTCCAGGGCGCGGAGTGGGCCGGGGCGGGCCCTGGGGGAGCAGCAGCAGCTGCAGCTTCTTCTGTTGACTCTAAGCAGGCCCAAGAAGCCCTTGATGCAGATGCTCAAGTTGCTTTTGAGGCTCTCGAGTCTCTCAAGCAGGCGTACGGCAACGCAGGCAGCCGATGAGTGCTGGCCAAAGTCAAAGCTTCCTGTGAAAAGGGCACCTTTTACATTCATTTGCACACAGAGTTTTATGTGAAAGAGGCACTCGTTTCACTCTTTTTCTTCTTTTTCTAGCTTCCAGTGCAACCTGAAAAGACCTAAATCGCTGGAGTCCCATTCTTAGCTTTCTCTGTGCGCATTTGTTTATTCGAAAACGTTCCCTAACTGCCATTTGTAGCCACCTCCCACAGGGCTCATGAGTGCAGCTTTAAAGGTCAGAAGCAGCTGCTGCTGCCAATGGGAATTGCCCAGTCATGCGCAGCACGCAGACCAGAAACTAACAGCCATAGAGCCGCAGCAGAAGCGAAAGTGCGGAGTTTTCCTTACGTATTTTGTTGGTTTTCCGGCTTTTTGAACCACAGGAGGTCATTTGACCACCTGAGGGTAAGTAGAAGCAGCACCAGCAGGTGCCGTTGCTTCTGAAAGTGCAACTAGTTGCCTTATCATCTCAGACACGAGGGCGAAAGGCTCGCTACTAGTGTTGCTGCTGCATCAAGTCCATATACTCATTGTGAATGTTGAGCAGCGTATCTGCTGCTGTGAGAGCTACCCAGTCTACTGCAAAAATGACCGGGAGGCACAGTGTCTGCTGCTGCCCAAAGTAGCGCGTGCGGTCCGCTGCACCAGCATCCCCCGCAGCTGCAGCAGCAGCAGCAAACTCAGCACGAGGCCAGCAAGCTTGAAAAGGGCCAACAGGGCGTATAAGACCCTCCACTCGGATTCGCTTTCGGACTCGAATGTTGGAGCCCCCCTTTAAGAACCCCTCGCCTGAATTTAGCACCCATTTGGCGGCAGTGTTGCATGCGTCGCAGCACAGGGCGCCGTAGACGAGGGCCCCGTTGCTGCTGCTCGCTAGCAGGTCTTGCTGCTGCTGCTGCTGCTGATCTGTCTGCGCATGCACGATGGCTGCAACGCATGCGTCAAGCGCCTCTGCGTCCGTGGAGTGGCTGAGGCAGCCAAGGTGCTGCAGCAGGCGGAGGGCTGCTGCATTTTGAAAAAGGACCAGCAGCAGTCTCCCTGTGGCAGCCTCTTCAAAAGCAACAAGGGCCCCCATTTGAATGCCCCCAAGTCTGCTGCTCATGTCGTATTCGCCTTGCGCAGCCGCCCCACAGGCGCAGCGCCTGCTGCTGCTGCTGCTGCTGCTGCTGCTGCTGCTGCTGGGCTCGCTGAGGCAACGGCGGCACACGAAAGACAGGTGCAGTGCCAAAAGGCCCTCCACCGACCCGCAGTAGAGGCCACAGGCCGAAGTGTTTATTATCCTCTGTGGGGACACTGCAAAGGGGACAGCAGCAGCAGCACCAACGCCAGCCCCCAACTCTTGCCCCTTAGCCTTAGCCACGCAGCAGCCACCACTGCGTGGGCTGCGCTGCCCCCCCTTGCTTTGCTGGCTGTGACTACAGCCTTTTGTGGGGCCAGGCCAGACATCAGCAGCGTGGCTAGTGCAAGGCCGGGGGGCCCCTGGAAGGGGGCCCCCGGCCTTGGGGCGGGATGCCCCTGCAAGGGGGCCCCCAGCTCTCGCTGCCGGACGAGAGTTGTTTTCCGTCCCACGAAATAAAGGAGGCAGTCTGAGGCTCACTGGCACTCCGGGAGACTCTCCCGCGGCTCTTTTCCCCCCAAGGCAGCTGCAGCAGCAGCAGCAGCTGCTGCTGCTGCTGCCGAAGTGGGGGCCAGCCCCCAGCCAAAGAGGTTGCGCTGGGGAACCCGCGGAGGCCGCAGGCTCCTGGCCTAATGCCTCAGCCTCTGCCGCCTCTGCTGCACTCAGCGGAAGCCCCCCGGGGGCAAGAGCGTAGCGGTGCCGCAACTGCTGCAGCAGCGGGTGGGTGGGGGGAGCAGCTGCTGCTGCAGGGCCAGAAGCTGGCAGCAAAGGCCCAGCTCCAGCTGGCTGGACCCGTGGCGGGCTTTTGCTGCTTCCCAGCCAAGAAGTATTCCGAACAAAAGGCGGGCCCTCCACTGTTTGTCGAGAGGGAATAGCTCTCAGGGAAACTGCAGCAGCAGCAAAACCAACACAGCTCACTTCTGTTGCTGGGGTGGCCTCCAAAAGCACTTCCCACAGCGCCGTGGCTCCAGCCATACCCAGGGGCTCCCCCCGTGGCTCCTGCTGCTGCAGTGCCACGCAGCCCTTTTGCTGCTGCATTCCCACGGCGCCCTGGCGCTGCTGCTGCTGCTGCTGCTGCTGCTGCAGGCCGCAGCACTTCGGGGGTTTCGCCAGCCACGCAGGGCCCCCAGAGGGCTGTGAGGTTCGGGCCTGGCCACAGGGAAAGGCACTCCCCAGGGCGAGGGAGAGCAGCAGCTGCTGCTCTCCCAGCGGGGTTGTGGGGCTTGCTGCAGAGCTGCAGCGCATGCACTTGGAGCAGCGAGCAGCAAAAGGCCTCCCCAGGCCTTCCCCACCTGCTTCGCCCAGCGCTGCTGCCCAGGCCCTCAACAGCGGAGGCAGCCAGCTCCCCAGCGTCTCCCCTGGCAGCAGTCCCAAGCTCTGTTTGCTGATGGGGATTGCAGAGCCCCCAGCTGCTGCTGGCGAAGCCGCAGCAGCAGCAGCAGCTGCTGCTGCTGCCTTCCCTGCTGCTGGCGCTGCTGCCGCAGCTGCTGCGCGGAGCCGCCGGAAGGGCTGCGGCCACGGAGGGGCCGCCCGCAGCACCAGCAGGCAGGGCCCCAAGTTTACCTGCATGCCAACTTGCAGCAAATCGAATCTCCCAGGCACAACAGCTGGGGGCACCCAGAGGTCCACAAAGCCCGCGTCTTCCCCGGGGGGCCCCCTGGCCCCACAGCTGGGGCTGTGGTTTCTTACACTTCCCCGCGGCCGGGGCCCGGGGGCCCCAAACCAGGAGGCCCCCGCCAGCCTGCAGACAAAATAACACCAACCCCACCTGGGGCTAAATCCACTGCAGCCGCCAGGCCCACGCCGCGCAGCCTCGCCCCCTTCTTTCCCCTTAACCCCTCAGAGAGGGGCCCCTTAGACCCTCAGAGAGGGGCCCCTTAGGCCCTCAGAGAGGGCCCCTGGGGGCCCCCGCCCAGCCCCTTCTTCCGAGAGCACTAAAAGCCTCACCTGACAACCAGCCAGTCCACGCGCCGGGGGGGGCCCCCTCCTAAACCCTCTTGGGGCTTTTCGCCGGCAGGGGCCCCCTGGCGCAGCGGCTGGAGGATAATGTCTGCTACTGTGAACCCTTTGAGGGAAACCCGGGGCCTCTTCGGCGCAGCAGGGGCCCCAGGGGCCCCCAGCAGCAGCGCGGGCGGGAGACTCCCCAGCCACTTCTCTGCTGCTGCCATGAGGCCCGAGACCGAGCTGTGGGCCCGCTGGGTCTCCGCATGCACTGCTGAGCGGCACTGGAGAGTCCACCGAGCCAGCAGCAGCAGGCACTCAGGGCAGCGGCTGGGGCCGCCTGCAGCAGCAGCTGCAGCATCAGCAGCAGCAGCAGCAGCGGCTGCCGCTGCAGCTGCTGGCTCCCGCCCAAGTCCACGCCCGCAGAAGCAAACCTCTTCATCGAGCTGCCTTGCGAGCCACTTGGCTGCTTCCTCCTCACTAGGGGGCCTCTCAACAGCGGCGCTGCTCCTGGGGCCCCCAGGTGAGAAGGGGGCCCCCCTTGCTGCTTCCTGCTGCTCCTCTTTCTCAGCGGCAGTCCAGCGTATGAAGGTCCACGCAGACATCGGAGGCAGCGAGTTTGGGGCCTCCCTGCGTCGTTTGCTGCCAGCTTGCCGCTGCTGCTGCTGCTGCTGCTGCTGCTGCTGCCGCTGCTCAGTGCACACAGCGGGAGCTGCCCACTGGCCGCTTCTCGCCCAGCTGCGAAGCTGGAGATCCTCCAAAAGAGGCTCTGCCAAAACCTCTCTGTAAAAGAAAGATTCCGGGAGCTGGGGATCCCAGAAAACACCCGGAGTGCGCCTCTTGGCTGCGTCTGCTGCTGCTGCTGCGTCTGCTGCTGCTTCTGCTGCTGCCTGCTGCGGCACCTGCTGCAGTACCACGTAGAAGGCTAGCCGCTGCAGGGCAGCAAACTGCTCCGGCGGCACGCGAAACGTCACCTCGCGGCCGAGGCGAAGGGACTGTCTCCGTTGAGGCTTTGCTGCAGCAGCAGGCGCAGCTGCGGGCTGCTGCAGCAGCAGCTTCTTGCCGCTGCATGCGTTCCTCTGTGCTGCAGCATGCGGGGCCGAAGCAGCGGGGGGCCCGTCCTTTACTATGAGGCTGTCTTGCTGCTGGGGCCCCTCCCCAGCAGCACTCCCATTGGGCAAAGGGTCCTTTAAGGGACAAAAAGCGCTTCCCTGGATGAGGCAAATCTGCTGCTGGAAGTCTCCTTGCGAGTCCCCAGCAGCAGCAGCTGCTGCTGCCGTTTCCAGAGGCAGCGCGACGCAGCATTTGTTCCTCAAAAAGAAATAAAAACAACCAACAGAGCTGCCAACACCAGGCAGCTCTTTGGGGCCCCCCGCTGGGGGAGGTCCAGACAGATGTGGCGCAGCAGCAGCAGCAGCAGCAGCAGCAGCAGCAGAATGGCACCAGTGCGTCACGCGCACAGCTGCAGCAGGACAAATGAGAAGAGATATGAAACCGCCGAGTGGAGAGCTTTGCATAAATACAGAGCCGCAGGCAGCAGCTGCTGCAGCAGAAAGAGATGACATTTCCGCCCTCTCACTCTGTGGCCGCCGCTGCTGCTGCTGCTGCTGCTGCTGCTGCTGCTTTTGCCTTTGTCTCTGTTGGCCCTCTGCTGCGGCTCCGTTCCCAGAAGAGGCAGCCATCTGCTGCTGCAGCGGCCGGCGCTTTGCTGCTGCTTTCTTCAGCGCAGCGGCAAGCCGCGCGGCTGTGGGGTGGGCCTCAACAAAGACAGCAGCAACTAAGCAGCAACGATCCAGAGAGACACACAAAGAGCGCCGCCAAGGGGTTGCTGCTGCTGCTGTTGCTGGCAGCAGGTCCTGCAGCAAACGGGAAGAAGCACTTAGGGGGCACTTGTGAGGACAGGAGGGCAGCAGAAGCAGAGGCACTGTTAACGACTGGTCAGACAGCAGTAGCAAGTTGCCGCAGAGACTACGTTGGCCCGGACTTAAGGTCCAGTTGCTGCTGCTGCTGCTGCTGCTGCTGCTGCTGAAAGCCGTCGTGGGCGCAGCAGCAAAGACCGGCGGCGGAGGCCCGCTATGCAAAAACCCCGCGATGCCGCAGACGTCATCTGCTGCCAAGAGAGCAGCAGAGTCCACTGCATTAAGAGCAGTGCAGCTGACTGCAGGAAATGTCTGCATGCGGTGCTGCAGCTGCAGCTTCACCTGCTGCTGCTGCTGCACCTCTTGCTGCTTCTGCTGCCGCTGTTGCTGCCTCATGCACGGTTCTCGCTGTCGCTGTTCCCGCAGAGCTGTTGCTGAAGGTGCGCGACGTAAGGCGGAGCCGGGCTTGTGTTGGTCACATTGCTGCTGCTGCTGCTGTTGCCGCTGCTGCTGCTGCTGCTGCTGCTGCTGCGCCTGCTGCAGCCGCTGCTGACGCTGGAGTGTGCCCTCGGTCGAGAGAAGCAAAACGGCGGCCTCCTGAGTCTGTGTCTCCGGCAGAGGAGCAAATGGGACCAAACGGTGCAGCGGCAAGTCCTCGGGGAAGCCGCAGGGACCGGCAGCAGCAGCAGCAGCAGCAGCAGCAGCAGCAGCACCGCCACCCCCAGCAGCTTCAGCACTAGGGGCCCCTGAGGCCCTTGTGTCAGGAGCAGCTGGCGCAGCGACTCCAAATGAGTCGTAGGAGGGAACGAGGCTTTCCCTAAAGCCTGCTGCAGCGCCGACAGCACCACTTGCTGCTTCCCTGCTGCTGCTGCTGCTGCTGCATTCCGCCACAGGCACGCGGGCTTCGTGCCACTGCAGCAGCGCCAGCCACCGCAGCACATCAGCGCAGAGTTTCCTCGTGTATCTCCTCGAGGCCTCTGCTGCCTCCCAGCTAGCAGCCTCTGCTCTCGCTGCACCTAGTGACTGGCAGCAGCAGCAGCAGCAGCAGCAGCAACTGCTGCTGGCTCCAGTTCTGCTGGAGCAGGTCTTGAAAAAGACTGCTCTTGACTCTGCCTGCGGAGTTCCTAGGGACGGCAGCTGCGCCATATGCGCAGCAGAAACCTCCAGCGAATTCAAAGCCACTGCAGCAACAGCAGCAGCCAATGTGCTGCCCACTCGGCCCTGCAGCGGGGCCTCCGCTGCTCTGCTGCTGCAGCAGCAGGCGCCCTTGCTGCAGCTGCTGCAGCAGCGGCTGCTACGCACCCCGCAGGAGCACGGGACGGGCCACCCTGCTGCCGCCGAGAGACAGCAGAACGCCTTCGCTGCAGCAACAGCAGCAGTTTGCTGCACCAGCCGCAGCAGGAGCAGCTGAGCGTCTCGAAGCAGCCAAAAAGAGACTGAGCTGAAGGCCCTGGGCCCCAAAGAAGCATCTGCTGCAGGGGCCCCACACAAGGCTCCTGCTGCTCCTGCAGGCAGAGCAGCAGCAGACCCTGGAGACGTTCCGCTGCGCCCCCCACAGCTGCCGCTGCTGCTGCTGCTGCTGTTGCTGCTGCTGCAGTCTACCTCCTGGGGCTGCAGAGGCTGCCAGGGGCCCCACGCCTCCGAGGCTCTGGGGCAGCGGCCTGTGAGACCACAGGGGCCCACAAATGGCTGCAACAAAGTGTGGGGAGAGCCGCACCATGGGGCGCCGTGTGCTGCCTCTGCTGGCCAGCGGACCGCAGCAGCAGCAGCAGCAGCAGCAGCAGCGGCTGCAGCAGCCGGAGCTGCTGCTGCTGCACCCTCTTGTCCAGGGCCTTCCGCTGCAGCGTGGAGACAGCCAAAAAATGCGCGAATCCACAAAGCTGGAAACTTGCGAAGAATCTCCGCAGCTGCCGACGCGTGCCTGCAGCACAAGAGGCTGAGGAGTGGAGGGCTGCTGCTGCTGCTGCTGCTGCTGCTTCTGCTGCTGCTGCTGTTGCTAGGGTTCTCGGATTCTGGGCCTCCGGCTGCGGGGCTCTCGGCCCCACAGGTGCTCCCGCGGGCCGCATCGGCGTCTCCTGCTGCTGCTGCTGCTGCTGCTGCTGCTGCGTCTGCTGTTGGCGCTCCATGGGCAGCTGCAGCAGCAGGTGCAGTTCGTATGGCCGCTGCGGCTCCATGGACTGCTGCAAGTGCTGCTGCTGCTGCTGCTGTTGCTGCTGGATGTGGCTGTGTGTCCTCTTCAAGCCTCGTTTTATGAATAAAGGAAGAAGAGCTCCCTCGCGGGCAGAAGCTGCCCCTGCGGCTGTCACGGCAGGAGCAGCAGCAGCAGATTCTCTCGTGCTTTCTGCTGCTGCTGCTGCTGCTGCGCCTGCTGCTGCTGCTGCATCGCTGGAACGAAGCGTGTGGCCTCGTTGCTGCCAGCAGCTGCAGCGCGAAACTGCTGTCTTCCTGAGAATAGCTGTGTCCCCCCAGAGGCCCCGCCCCAGGGCCCCTTAGGGCAGGGGTCCCCAGCAGCAGCACGCTGCTGCTGCTGCTGGATATGAGGGCCACGGGGAGGGCCTCCGGGGGCCCCCAGGCTGCATGCAAGGCGTCTCTGTCTCCCCGAGGGGCCCCACCAGCTGCTGCAGGGGCCCCACAGCCCGCACAAGGCTTTGCACTTTCTGCTGCTGCTGCTGCTGCTGCTGCCCATCGTGCTGCTCTGCGCAGAATGTCTCGGCCGCTGGCGCCCAAGTCCCGCCAGCCCAAGTGCTGCTGCAGCAGCAGCAGCAAGGCGCCGCAGCCGCCCACAACGCCCCTGCTCTCGGCGCTGCTGCTGAGGCACCAGGGAAAGGCTTGCCACTGCAGCAAACCCCCCAGCAGCCCGAAGCTGCTGCTGCCGCGGCAGCTCGTGACGGGCCCCTGGAAGCAAACAGGCTGTGCCATTAAGCTTTCAAAGGGGGCCCCTGTCTGCAGCTGGCGCCCCAGAAAGAGCAGCAAAGAAGTCCCGGAGGCATCGGGGCCCCCTAGGCAGCTGCGAAGCGTCTGCAGCGCCCTGCTGCTGCTGCTGCTGCTGCTGCTGCTGGCTGCCAGCAGCACAGCTGCAGCAGCAGGCGCAGCTGCCTCACCGCGAATGGGAAGCAGCGGCAGCAGCCACGGCAGACGGCCGTCGCAGAGTGCCGACGGCCCCAGGGCGCCAACTAGCTGCTGCAGCAGCAGCAGCAAGGGACTTTGCTGCTCTTCCCCCAGTGTTGCTGCGCCCAGCAGCAAAGACTCCTTGCGCGTCTGCTGCTGCACCGGCTCCTGCTGCTCCTGCTGCTGCTGCACTTCCTCCTCCTGCTGCACCGCCCCTTCAGCAAAGAGAGTCAGGGGCCCCTGCTGCTGCTGCGAGGCCTCTAGTGCTGCCTTGAGCTCCCCCAGATGCCACTGAGCTATGAAAGCTGCGGGGCCAGCAACAAGCCGCAGCAGCTGCTGCTGCTGCTGCTGCTTCTTGCTGCGCAGGCGCTGCAGCTGCACCCCCGCAACGCAAGCCACTTTGCCCGGCATTAGGCACAGTCGGGCAGTTGCAGCTGCTGAGGAAAAAAAGAACAATTCCTCATCTGCTTCGCTGCAGCAGCATTTGCTGCTGCAGTTGTCGCTGCCTGGACTTCTACCTTTTGTGCTGCTGCTGCTGGATTGGCGCGTGCTGCTGCTGCCACCAGGGCCGCCTGTGCTGCTGCTTCTGCTGCAGCGCGAGCAGCGGCAGCAGCCCCCAGTGCAACTGCTGCTGCTTCTCGCCTGCAGCTGCAGCCCCCAAGTGGGGCTGTGGGGGCCCCTCAGTGGCTGCGCTGCTGCGGCCCCGTGGGGCAGCACTTGCTGCTGCTTGGGCTGCTGCTGCAGCAGCTTTCCTACAAAAAGGCAAGACAGCCGCGCCACACAAATGGCAGCAGCTGTGTCCCTAGGGGGACTCAGCAGCGGGGAGACAGACACCACAAGCCCGTATACCACCAAAGACCCCCGAGGGGGCCCCACAAACTCTCCGGGCCAGCACAACACGCCAGGGGCCCCGGGGGCCCCTGGGACCCCTGGGGCCCCCGACGACCCTGGGGGCCCCGGGGGCCTTGGGGCCCCCGGGCCCCCTGGGGCCCCTGGGGCCCCTGGGACCCCTGGGGCCCCTGGGGCCCCTGAAGCCTGTGGGGTCCCTTGAGCCCCTGGGGCCCCTGGAGCCCCTGGGGCCCCCTGGGGGCCCCACAGGCAAACAGCAGGGCAGGCTGAGGCAGCTCCGTAGGGTGCTGGAGACCCGCAGGGGGCCCTTGAGGCTGAAGGAATGTTTCTGGGCTTTGGAGGGCCTACGTGCTGTAGCCGGGCGCTGGAAATGCCTGCATGCGCAGCTGATTCTGCTGCTGCTGCTGCTGCTGCTGCTGCTGCCGGGGCCTCCCCAGCTACCCTCAAAGGGCACGAAACTGGGGCCCACAACGACTCAGTGGGGGGCCCCTGTGCTGCAGGAGGGGGGCCCCCGCTCTTAGAAGCTGCGTCTGCAAGCGAGTCACCGCTGCGGGGCCCGCCTTGCAGCGGCGCTGCAGCAGCAGTTGAAGCAGAAGCTGCTGCTGCTGCTGCTGCTGATGCTGCTGCTCCTTTTCCTGTTACTGCTTCTGCTGCCCGGCTTGCGACTGCAGCGCCTCGTTGTGCTGCTGCTGCCCCTCCTGCTGCTTGGCTTTGCCTTGCTGCTGTATCTGCAACAAGCCCTGCTGCTGCAGTGGTCGCTGCTGCAGATGCCGCTGCTGCTGCTGTTGGTGCTGCTGCTACTGCTGCTGCTTCTGCACCTCCCCGCGCCGCTGCTCCATCAGCAGCTTGCTGCTGCTTTGACAGTCCGTGTCTTTGCTGCTGCAGCGGCACCAACACAGCTGAGGGAGCAGCAAAACAAAGACACCCCGGAACAACTCGCAGCATTATTCTGTCTCCTTCTCCAGCTTCTTCTTTAATTCTACTAGTACCTACCGCAGCTCCAGGCTTCTGGGGCCCCAGGGGCCCCTCGGGCCCCAGGGGCCCCAGGGGCCCCGGGGGCCCCAGGGGCCCCAGGGGCCCCGGGGGCCCCCGGGGGTCCTGGGGCCCCCTGGGCCCCTGGGGGGGCCCCCTGGGGTCTCGGTGCCCCAGTGGGCCCTCAAGAGAATGCAGCAAGTTGGTTTCTGTGGGAGAGGGGCCTTTATTAGCTGCGCCCAGGTATTTGGCTGTGTGGGCAGCAGTTGTGGCCTCAGCCTGCTGCAGCAAGAGCCGCTGCTGCTGCTGCTGCTGCTGCTGCTGCTGCATGCTGCAGCTCGCTGGGCGGCTGCGCCTGCGACTTTGCGCAGCTAGCAGCTGCCACTGCCGCACAGCCACGAGACAGGGGCCCCCCGGGGCCCCCGAGAGGGCCAGGCGCCCAGAAAGGGTACTAGCTGTTGGGGGCTGTGCTGATTTGCTGCTGCTTGCTGCAGCACCAAGGGGGGCCCCTTGCTTCTCTGGGGCCCCTTCTCGCTGCAGCTCCAGAGACACAAAGGCGCTGCTGCTAAAAGTGCCCCACGTGGTGCACGCTACTGCGGCAGGGAAACTCCGTTCCTGCTGCTGCTGCTGCTGCTGCTGCTGCTGCTGCTGCTGCTCTTTGTTGCTTCTTGAATCAGGCTTTTTCTGGGGACCCGTCAGTGCAGCAGCAGCAGCAAATAGCAGCAAACCGCCGCCCTCGCCAGGCACACGTAGGAGACATCCCAGCAGCGCGGCCTGGCAGCTGCTGCTCGACAAGCACCAGCTGCTGTTGCTGCTGCTGCTGCTGCTGCTGCTGCTGCTGCTATAGTCTATGACGCCCCCCTGTGCCTTCTCTGCACGCAGCAGCAGCTCCTCCACTCCAATAATTGCAGCTGCTGCAGCAGCGGGGCCTTCCAGCTGCAGCAAACTGGGCTCGGGGAGCTTCTGGGCCCCCAGCAGCAGCAGCGCCGCACACAGCTGCTGAAGCAGCACGAACTCTTCTGCGTGCATCTCCGCAGCAGCAGCAGCAGCAGCAGCAGCACGGCCGATGCAGCAGCAATCAGCAGCAGCAGCAGCACACAGTTTTCTCAACAGCTTTGCTGCAGCGTCAAGGGGGCCCTCTGAGAAACCCTCATCAAGACATGTTTGTGGGAAGGCATAAAGGGGGCCCCCGGGACCCCCGCAGCTATTCATTGCCAGGCGCTGCTGCTCTGCAGCAGCAGCAGCTCGCAGCACCTGCTGCTGCTGCTGCTGCAGCGCAGCAGCAGCAGCACGCAGCACCTGCTGCGCGTATTCTCGGAAGCAATGAGCCCCTGAAACTCTTGGAAAGATGCGGGCCTCGAGCGCCGCAGCAGCAGCACCTGCTGCTGGTTCCAAAGACACAGCAGCTGCAGGTCTCCCTGCTGCTGCTGCTGCTGCTGCTGCTGCTGCACTGTCCCGTGTAAGACTGCCAATACTGGGAGCCTCTCCGGAGAAAGCAAGGGGCCCTCTAATTGCTGCTGCTGCCAATCGCCTTTGTTTGGCCCCGGGGGGCCCCCCAGGGCCCCGGGGGGCCCCCCCAGAGGGTACAGTAGGGGCCTCCGTGGTGGCAGGAGCATGCAGCTGCTGTGGGGCACGCCGCTTTATTTGGGGAGTGGGCCTCATGTCGCTGCTGCTGCTGCTGCTGCTGCTGCTGCTGCTGCTGCTGCTGCTGCTACTCAACGACGGGGCGGCCCCCAAGGGACCCCCAGACGGAGGTCTTCTGGAGGTCTCCTGCTGCATCCCAGGAGCTCCCATGCTGCGCCTGCGCTTTATAATTTGGCTCTGAAGCAGCAGCAGCAGCAGCAGCAGCGGCAGCAGTAGCACTCGCTGCTGCTGCTGCTGCGGGCACTGAAGAAGCGGCCTGATTGCACTTTTTGAAGCAGCAGCAGCAGCAGCAGGTCTGCAGCGCAGCAGCTAGCTATTGTGCCTGCTGCCCCACAGCGCCCCACATAAGCCCTTAGCTGCCCAGGGGCCCCGCAGTCCCCAGTCAGCTGGGGGCCCCCCGGGGGCCCCCCGCAGCGCGCCTAGGCGCAGCAGATGGGGCCATTGCTGCTGCTCCTTAGCTGCTGCATGCACTGGGGCCACGGCGCAGCTCTCAAAGAGCCACAGCAGCGCGAAATGCGGCTTTTTGTGCAGAGCCTCCGCTGGCTAGACGAGGCTTCTGGGGGCAGCAGCAGACTTCACGTGAGCGCAGGTGTACAGACGCCTCGTTTTAATGACAAAAACACAAAAAATGACCCAAAAATATACAAAAAGGACTCTCAATTCGCCATAAGATCCCTGCGACCCGGAGGAGGCGGGGGGGCCCCCTCTGGGGGCCCCTGGCGGCCCCCCACTGGGGCCGCTGTCGGCGGCAGGCGTGGCTAGAGAGGCTAGATAGTTTGTAATGCATTTCTTTTTTCCTTTTAAAATGAAGTCTAACAAAAACTGAGGACTCATTTGGATGGCTGGGTTAGCTGCAGACACTGAGGTGTCTGTACACTGCAGCCATCCCGCTGGCAAGGTCACCTCGAGACCCCGCGACTGAAAGAAAGGAATTTAATCCCGTTTGCCTCTAAACCCTGAAGAATGCAATTAAAAACACAATTAACCCTTAGAGAGGAACAGCAGAGACAACAAAAACAGCAGCAACAGCAGCAGCAACAGCAGCAGCAACAGCAGCAGCAACTTGAGACAATACACAAGCAGCGGCAACGGCTGCACGAACTGCAACGAGAATAGCAGCAGCTGCTGCAAATAAAATAGAACTGCATCAGCAACAGTAGCAGCAGGAAAAGCGGCAACAACAGCAGCTGCAGCAACAGCAGCAGCAAAAAAGCAAATCGGCCTCAAACTGCTTCTCGCTCGACGTTAGAGGCTTTGTCTCTCCTTAGCTTGTCCCACGCAAAGCCCTTGTTGGCAAGCCCCAAGCCCTAAACCCCAAACCCTTGCCTAAACCCTAAACCCTAAACCCTAGCCGTAACTTCGAAGGCTTCTGTCTTTCAACAGCAGCGGGACAAGAAAACGTGTAAGAAGATGAAAGGCCAAGCAGCAACAGCAGCACTTGTTCAGGCCATGAATAACCACTGAGTTAATGCAGGGCTGCGTAGCTGCATTAGGGTTTAGGGTTTAGGGTTTAGGGTTTAGGGTTTGGGCTGCTGCCGTTCTGCCTGCGCTCTGTCCCAGCTGCTTTTGCTGTGGCTCTGGGGCTCAGAGCTGCCTCAAAGCTTCATTTAAAACTGTTTTAGCTTTAAAAAAATCCTTAAGAGGCAGCAGCAGCAGCAGCTAGCTGCAGCGGCAGCTACCGTTAGTGCCATCCTGCTGCTGTCTTAGTGCTGCACCATTCTTGCTGCTTGCAGCAGCCCCGCAGCAGCAGAGACGCAGCAGCAACACAGTGCGACATAGGAGGAATATTCTGCTGTCAAGACTGAGTGCAGCTGCTGCAGCAGTGCAGCGAGACATCCCACTAGTAACAGCAGCAACAAGGTGTGCTGCAGCAGCAACAAGGTGTGCTGCAGCAGCAACAAGGTGTGCTGCAGCAGCAACAAAGTCTGTTGCAGCAGTAACAAGGCGTGTTGCAGCAGCAAGATGTGCTGCAGCAGCAAGGCGTGCCTCAACAGCAACAAGGTGTGCTGCAGCAGCAACAAAGTGTACCGTAGCAGCAACAAAGTGTGCCGTAGCAGCAACAAAGTGTGTTGCAGCAGTAACAAGGTGTGTTGCAGCAGCAACAAGGTGTGTTGTAGCAGCAAAAAAGTCTGCTGCAGCAGCAACAAGGTATGCTGCAGCAGCAACAAGGTGTGGCTCAACAGCAACAAGGTGTGCTGCACAACCGAACAGGTGTGCTGCAGCAACAAGGTGTGCTGCAGCAGCAACGAGGAGTGCTGCAGCAGCAAAAAGGTATGCTACAGCAACAACAAGGTCTGTTGCAGCGACAAGTTATGCTGCAGCAGCAACAAGGTGTGCTGCAGCAGCAACAAGGTGTGCTGCAGCGGCATTAAGGTGTGCTGCAGCAACAACAAGGTGTGCTGCAGCAGCAAGGTGTGTTGCAACAGCAACAAGGTGTGCTGCAGCAGCAACAAGGTCTGCTGCAGCAGCAACACACAGGCAGCAGCTTTCCGGGGTCACTTCTCCGGCGGCTGCTCCCCTACGCAAGAAAACCGATTGCCCAAAGGCCAAACCCTAAACCCTAAACCCTAAACCCTAAACCCTAAACCCCAAATCTCAAACCCTACACCCCACATTGCGAAACCTAGACTCCAAACCCTAAACCCGAACACTCCCTTTTTCTCTATTTAAATTCAGATGCTCGAGGACTCTGTGTCCCGTTGCATTGCCACTAGGGAGCCAGCTACATGCTGCTGCTAATTCTGCTGCTGCTGCTTCTGCTGCTGCTGCTTCTGCTGCTGCTGCTTCTGCTGCTGCTGCTTCTGCTGCTGCTGCTTCTGCTGCAGCAGCAGCAGAAGCAGAAGCGGTCGTCCGACTGCAGAGGCAGCAAAGCCCACAGAAGGGCTGTAGCTTACTGCTGCTGCATGCAGCAGCTTATCGCTGCAGCACGCAGCACCTTGCTGCTGCTGCAGCAATGAGAGGCTACAGCCACTACGAATGACGGAGGCAGCTGCTCTGTGGGGTTGGGGCTGCCGTGGCAGCAGAGGGCTGCTGCTGCTGCTGCCCGAAGCTCCACCGCTCTTGCAAGTTGCTGCTGCAGCAGATGCTGCCCAGGAAGCAGCAGCAGCCGGGCAGCAGCAGCAGCAGCAATCAGCAGCAGCACGAGTGCAGCACCAGGATAGAGCAGCTGCAGCGCAGCACTATCAAGCTGGCAGCAGCGGCTGGAGGGCAGCAGCACCAGCGCAGCAGCAGCGGGAGCAGCGAACCAGCAGCAACACTGCTGCAGCAGCGGGGAAATGCAAGCAGGCTAGAGCAGTCGTGGGCCAGCTGGAACGCAGCAGCAGCAGCAGCAACAGCGATGCCGCACCCGCAGCAGCAGCGCGAAGCCCGCTGCAGCAGGGCAGCAGCAGCAGCAACAACAGCAACAGCAGCAGCAGCAGCAGTTAAGGGCGTGTGGCGCTTCGGCTGCTTGGGTGTACAGACACCGCGCAGCTGCGCGGGTCGTGGCCCCCCGCCGTCCCGTCTTTGTGTTGGGTTTGAGCTGCTGCTTCATCTCCTTTTAGAGTTTAAAAGCATTAATAGCTGCTGCGGAAGGGCTGCTGCTGCTGCTGCTGCAGCGCCGCAGCAAAGGCGCTGGCAGCAGCAGCCACGGGCGGCTGCGGCGGCAGCGCCGGCCACAGCCTGCAGTCTGGGGGCCCTGGACTGGCACTTGTAATTCATTTCCCAGGTGTACATACACTTGAAAGTGGCAAGAAGGTCCCCGAAGAGAAGCTGGGAGGCGGCGCGCGGCGGCGGCGGCGGGAGGCTCTGGCTGCTGCTGCGGCGGCGTTGACTGCAGCAGCAGCTGCTGCTGCTGTTGCTGCTGCTGCTGCTGCTGCATGCCGCGCAGCAATGTGAATCTCGGCTCGTTTTTGCAAGTTAAAAAGATATTTTGGGGGATTTCGAATACTCCGAAGGAACAAAGCGGCCTTGAGACCCCTGTTGCGCCCGCAGACCCCAGCTGCCCCCGCTGCTGCCCGCCTGGGCCCGCCAGCGCCTGCTGCTGCTGCTGCTGCTGCTGCTGCAGCATTGTGGACGCTTCGGGCCTTCCGAGTTCGTCTCGGGGCTTTTGGCTTTTCTTTTAGCTGCGAGTCGCCTCCCCCCGCGCTCTCCCGGCCGCCACAGCAGCAGCAGCAGCAGCAAAGCAGCAGCAGCAGCAAAGCAGCAGCAGCAGCAGCAAGCAACAGCCACCCCAGGGCTTGCCCGCGCCGCCCTTCCTGCGAGCTGCAGCGCCGCTGCTGCTGCAGCCGCCCCACAGTCACTCGGGGGGCCCTCCTGGGGGCCCCCAGAGCAGTGCTGCAGCAGCAGCACAGCAGTGTCTTTCTTGCTGAGCTTTTGAATCTTCTTTCTCTGTCTCCTTCCTGTCTCCTTGCCTTGCCTCGCGCGCCCTCCTCGGCCCTTGGAGCTGCTGCTGCTGCTGCTGCTGCTGCTGCTGCAGAGCGGTGCGGCGCTGGTGGATTGAGGTGTACGTACACCCGGAGCTCCGCGCTGCTGCAGCAGCTGCAGCAGCAGCAGCAGCAGCAGCTGCAGCGCAGCCCCCGCGTGCTTTCGGGCTTCTGCTGACGCAGCTTGGCGGCCCCTTTGTCTCCTCTTTTGTCTTTCATTTTATCTTTTATTTCGTTTTTTCTTTTATCTCTTCTTTGTCTTTTCTTTTGTCTTTTCTTTTGTCTTTTCTTTGTTTCTTCTTTTGTCTTCTTTGACTCTTTGGGCCTCCCAGCCGGCGGGTCTGCAGAGGCCCTTGACCCGTGCCTCGCGCAGCGTTTACACAGCAGCAGCAGCAGCAGCAGCAGCAGCAGCAGCAGCAGCAGCAGCAGCGGTAGAGCACCATTGGACGCAGCGGTAGCAGCAACAGCAGCAGTCGCAGCGGTAGAGCACGTCCAAACGCAGCGGTAACAGCAGCAGCAGCAGCAGCAGCAGCAGCAGCAAGCGCAGCAGCTGCGTCCCCGGCGAGCCGCAGCACCCCCTCCCGCGCCCGCGCCCCAGCAGCAGCAGCAGCAGCAGCAGCAGCAGCAGCAGCAGCAGCAGGGCGCGGGCCGGCTGGCTGCAGCAGCAGAGGATGGTCGAGTCTGCGGTGGAGAGCTCTTTGCCCCCAGCCCTCTCCATCAGCCTCGCAATTGTCTGCGCTCTCGGCAGCGCCCTCTTCTCGGGCCTCACTCTCGGTGAGGGTTTAGGGTTTAGGGTTTAGGGTTTAGGGTTTAGGGTTTAGGGTTTAGGGTTTAGGGTTTAGGGTCTGGGGTTTGGGGTTTGGGGTTTGGAGGTAGGGTTGAGGGTTAGGGTTTGCGGCCGTGTGTGGCGTGTTGAGGGCTAGCCAGCTAGCCAGCTAGCTATCTCGCCAGCTAGCCAGCTAGCTCTCTATCCAGCTAGCCAGCTAGCCAGCTAGCCAGCTAGCTATCTAGCCAGCTAGCCAGCTAGCTATATATCCAGCTAGCCAGCTATCCAGCTAGCTATCTCGCCAGCTAGCTACATATCCAGCTCGCCAGCTAGCTCTCTATCTACCTAGCCAGCTAGCCAGCTAGCTGTCTCGCCAGCTAGCCAGCTAGCCAGCTAGCCAGCTAGCCAGCTAGCTACCTCGCCAGCTAGCCATCTCGCCAGCTATCCCTCTACCTCGCTAGCGAAACCTCGCGCTCCGCATCTCCGCGTTCATCTCCCCCCCACCCCCACCCCCCACCTGG